CATAATATGATATGAGGGACCGACAAAATTCGCCGAAGACTAAAGTAGTAGAGAGCGGACTTGGATGTTCAAATTTATGTGAAACCAACCGATAGGGGACCACCCACTTTGGCCATGTCCATTGCGAGTAGTAAGTAATTTGGTCCGCCACTCATAAAACCAGCTACGGTATCCATTAATATCCATTAATCCATGTTATAATCCAACCAGCTATATTTTTTCAGGGTACCACGGCAGGCGGCATCTCCTGGCTGCGGCGGCGGAAAGGTGTTCCGGTGGAGTCGGAGCGGCTGTGATTTAAGCGGTGAATTCATCGATTTGGCCATGGAACATATGGATTTAAGCAACAGAAATAGGTGTTTAAGATGATTTAAGATGATTTAAGATGATTTAAGATGATTTAAGGAATCAACATATGAATTCAAGCAACTATCATATGGATATAACCAAGAAACATGTGGGATTTAAGCAAGAAACATGGTGATTTGACTGACAAGAGATAGAATACAGAGGAGGGTCCAACGGTCTAACGAACAGAGATGATGTAATAATGAGAGATTTCACAGATAAATAGTTGATAATCACCACCTGGATAAATCATAGACAACGTGGACAATGCGGGAAAGGTTAGATGGTTCGCCTTGTAGTCTTTTCGTTGTATGGTTTTTACTGTTTACCTTTCTAGTATATATGTACACATATTATATATATATATATGAATTGTTCAATTTCCCATGTTTGGGGTTGCTTAATATACTATATTTCTGTTTCTCGAAATTGGAGTGCCCCAAACCAGTACTGGTTTCCTTTGATCAAAACTGATCAAAAAATTGGATGACAACTTGGAGTCCCCCATGACTCAGCCCCACATCTATACATATATATATACAACATCTATATATATATACATACATATATCATGCATTTGTACACACATTCATGTGTATATATATATGCATACATGCATTACGATTGGCTGTTACTTGAGTAATTTTATTGGCAATCGAATAGTGGCAGGACTGTGGAACTCATCTCCAAAATTAAGGTTCATAATTAAACAATAGAAAGAAATCTGTGTTGGGGAGCCTTGGGTAGTCCCACACTTTACCATTTAACAGCAAACAGAAGGGGCAACACAAAAACTGGCCATAGGTGTTGGCCGAGCCAATGTTCTCTGTATCGGCTTCCAACCGATTCTTTTGAAAAACTGTCAAAGAAAAACACTTTCAGCACATTCAAGAAAAGTAACAAAAACAACTAAAACATATTAATGAACAATAACTGGAATAAAATGGAATTATTTGGAATATGTCAGGAATGTCCGTATAAGGAATGTCCCTCTCCATAGAGAAGAATGTGCACGACCATACCTTTGCTTCCCCATCAGAATAACAATTATCAAAACATACAATGATAAAACGTATTCCCACATCATGAAATGTGTATATATATATGTGTGTGTGACATACAAATAGCAACATCATAATCACCAACATTATGATCCAGCAATGGGAATTCCAAAATTGCAAGAGGCAACCCTTTATAGATGAAGATGATGAATGTAGATTGGACAATTTGCATTCACAGCTTGAATTTCGGGAGGGTAACAGGCGATTGGTGCTGTTGAAAGAATGTTGAAGATGCTGCGGCAACTGCTCCAAAGCATGAGGGAAGTGACAAAGTGCACTTCCAGAGCAGGTTTGCATTGCTTAGCGAGGAAAAACGAGAGGCGACCAGCAAGGACCAACAGCAAAGTTGTCATGACGGGTAAGAACATCCTTAGAAACCCTTGGTTTAGTCTAGTATTAGGTATATTAGATCTATTCATTTCGGGGCCTGTTTGGATGATGTTTAACATGTTTAACATGTGGAGTGGTACTATGCTCAAGGGCCCATTGAAGAATTGGAGCCTCGGATTTTCTCACCGGGAACGTGGAACATGTTCAGCTACATTGGAGGCACGGGTCTATTCTAATCAAGCACTCCTACCATAGACCTTGAAGGGTCGATGATGCAGTTGGCTCACAGAAAGTGCCATTTTGCGGAACTTGATACAACCAGAACGTGGATAAGTATGTGAGTTCATATCCATTGTTTTTTGGTTTGTTCTATACTTCAATAGTTCATTGTCATGTCCACAACATTTGTGCACATATATCAAATGATATATGTATATGTATTTGCAAACACGTGAATATGCATTCATTATTATGTATGTATTTGTCATCTTATATTTATATTACATCATGCGTGCTGCATTGGCATTGCTGTGTTAATAACCTACGTATAGATTTTAGATATATAAGTTTACAGTAGATGAGGAGATTACACACCAATTTATCCTTGGGGGTTGCCGTTGGGTAACTAGTTTTATGTCTATGGCTATGGTAATAACTTTTAGGAGTTGACATATAACCCCTACAACTATAATAATTATATATAATATAATTATAATAGCTACAAGTCCGTGTCCTCATCCCTGCCCCATGTCGCGCAGCCGGAGTCCTCCCCGTCACAGCCGGGACGACCGGGACGGGCAGCCTTGCGAATTTGTCCAAGGGGGAGTTCACGATGTATTCTATATATATATATATATTTACAACTTAAATACTTGTTTTCGAACTTGTCTTGTTGCTTACAATCTACAGTCAAATGACGCATATAGATGCAATAGTTCCATATTTGTTTGGGAGATTTGATCCGCGTTTTGACACGACACGCCTTGTCCCGCATTCATGGGTGACTGAACACGTGGAAAAAATGGATTGCAAATCAAGTTTCATGTTCAGTTTTTGCTCCGCGCAGGTTACTTTTCTGGTACTGGGTAGTGATAAGGTGTGATCACAGAAGATGATAGCATTGTTGGTTGCTGGGAGAAGAAAAGTGCAACTGGAGACTCGACGAAGCAACACACATTGGATATCTATTAGCCATAAGAGGGGCACCTACTGTAGGGTATCTATTACCCTTGGGCACGGGGCACCTACTGTAGGAAGCACACAATTTGCAGTGGAACATCCTCCATTTGTTTTTGTTTGCTTTTCTTCGCAACAGAATAATTTGGGATGACGTTTGTGTATGTTTTTGTTTCCTGACTCTTTGTGCTGAGGTATCATGGCAGGACATCTGATCCTTATGCTGCTCACTATGAGGGCAGATATGATGGACCTCAGCCTGCCCACGGTGCCTATGGCTACCCTCCTGCATATCCCTACGATCCTTACACCCGGCCTCCAGGCTATGGCGCTTTTTACCCACCGGGCTACCCCCCCTATGGCTACCCACCTGCTGGCTATCCGCCGCCTGGTTACCCACCACCTGGGTATCCGCCTCCAACCTACCCTCCCCCTGGCTATGCGTATCCACCCCCCCAGCCTGATGGCAAAGCCGCGCAGAAACCGCGCGAGGGAAGGAAGCGCCGAGAGCAACACAACGAAGGGGAGATCAAGCTCACCTTGCAGGAGGTCTTGCCTAGAATCTCAAGCACTTGCTTGGCTATATTTGTTTTTTTGATCGGCATGGTGATTTTTGATGTCCCCATTGGTTAACGGTTAACCTACCATTTGGGGAATCAACTGGGAAAACATTCATTTTTTGGGGCGGACCTGTGAAGCAAATCCAAGTTTCGGCCTAGATGGGCTTCCTGTTGGAATTGACAATGATATGACAGCCTTTGGGTTCCACCTTTGTTTTCAGGTGATTGAGCATGGAGAACTCAACAAAGTCAAATTTTGGGTATGTGTGTGCGAGGTAGGTAACTATCCTGACGGACTAGTTTGACCCATCCAAGTTGTCGACTTGACAAAGTTGGAACGGATTGGAAACACCAGCTAGTTTTGAAATGTGTCAATTCCTTCTTGGAAATTGGAAATCAATCACCTTGCGAACGGGAAGGATGGACCCATACATTGTGGGGTTCCCTAAATCCAGATCAGCAACTTTATCGGTGCAGTAAAGCCATCCTTTTCTCCCATGTTTTACTGTAAAATGTACAAGGTTTTCCGAAGCTAGACCCCTTTTACGGGTCCTATAGGCGACAGCTTTCATTCGGACAGCTGTCGCAGTTGTCGCTTCGGAAATCTAAGGATTCCTCCATTTCGCACAGGAACAGGAGGGCAGCCGCTTCCTACAATGGAAACTGGACAACTGCAGCGAAGAGGATGGTTGTTGCTTGCGTGGGGGCATGGGATGGCATGGGCAGACGGGCTAACGCATGCTTTTCATGGGGAAAAATAGCAATGAATGGAAGAATTGTTATTTACTACATCATGCTGTATCTCTTGGATCTCTGAAGTTTTCGTTGATAGCTGACCGTAGCTAAGACAACCCAGACAGATTCATAAAGATTATTAGATATGTAGATTATAAAATATGCAAACTATAATGTAACATATGTAAACTGCCATAAACTGCCTCATTGTCAAGTTGTTGTCACCCTCAGGGCAGTACAGCTCAAAACCCATCCATGCCACGAATTGCTGTAGCTGCTTTTGTACCAAACTGTGCTAACATGCACTAAGTATAACAAAATCAGCTTGAGCTGGGGACACACATTGCCAAACAAATCCACATATCACATCACATCACATATACAATATATCAACATGATTATTAGCTGAGTTCCTGAGTTCCTGTTTCAAAGCAACTTTCTCTGACGCAGGAGCAGGCCCAGATTTTCGAGAAGGCATCCCCAGCACTTCCGAAGCTCGCGAAGGACGCCTTTGGAAACTTTGTGATTCAAAAATTGCTGGACAGCGCATCCGACGACCAGGCAGCCATCCTTGAAGCATGGAGATTTTAAGCAAACATGGGGAGATCATGAGGATAGGTGGTTTGGTGCTTAGTAGGGAATGGATGGGAATGGGGGAATGGAATGATTATTGATAGTTATTGTGGTTCATTCCCTCATTCCCTGCGTTTAGCACCAGTAAGTATTCTGTTCATGTCCAACACATGATGAACTCCGACAAGCATCCTTTTGAGGAAACAAATCCGAGCCTTGATGTCCAACATCATCCGATCAAACTCGTTTTCAGGGATTTTCCTGAAGCCGCTCAGGATTACCCTCTGGTAATTTAACATAGCTATGGAAAATCACCATTTTTAATGGGAAAATCCACTATAAATGGCCATTTTCAATAGCTATGTTAGTTTACCAGAGGGTAACTGATCTTCCCAAGAGCCCTTTGACCTTGCAGATTTCTTGCGGGGTTTCCAGCAGAGTCCATCCCATTCACTTGGTCATCCCACTTGATATCATTTGTAACCACTGTGTCTCGCAGCTGGTTAGTAGCAGCTATACCCAGAAAAGCAGCATTTAATCATCATAAATGAGTCAGATTGAGTAAAACATTATTCATTACCCATATTGTATTACTACTATATAATACTATATTAATATATATACATATATATTGCAACTAGTCACTAGTCGTCCCCATATATACTCAACATGTGGAATAACCTGGTTCAAACATTCATCATGGTAAACAGTAATGAATTAGTAACTAACCACACACACACACACGTATATATATGTGTATATATATACACCGACCGGCGAAAAGATAGAATATTTTTCACTACCAGACACGCGAGTGAGAAAATTACCATCGGCCTCCCACTCGAGAAAAACACCACAAGATAGAATATTAATATAGAATATTCACAAAAACTCACAGAACACCCCCTTGAATATTCTATCTTGTCAATTTCGTGCATGCCTGTGCAGAAAACTTTGAAACTACTGATGAAATTGTGAAGCAACAGGGTGCTACTGTGAAATGATGTTAAACAAATTCTGCTTGGGGATTTCCAACAATTCTGAATCCAACATGTTCCAATATGGGAACACCCCCTTGAATATTCTATCTTGTCAATTTCGTGCATGCCTGTGCAGAAAACTACTGATGATTTTTTGAAGCAACAGGACGCCAAGTCAACATGCCAGAAAAAACAAGGAAACATGATTAAAAATAGGGGAAAAAACAATGAACAATGATGAACAAGAGAGAAAAAAACAAGAACAAATGATGAAAACGAGTGAAAAAAAAACAAGGAAACATGATGAAAAAGAGAGAAAAAACGAGGAACCATTATGAAAAATAGAGAAACAACAATGAAAAATGATGAAAAAGAGAGAAAAAACAAACAATGATGATGAAAACGAGAGAACAAATACTGAAAAATGATGAAAAAGGAACAAAAAACAATGAAAAATGATGAAAACGATAGAAAAAACAATGAACAATGATGAAAAAGAGAGAAGAAACAATGAAACATGATGAAAAAGAGAGAAACAAATACTGAAAAATGATGAAAAAAGGAACAAAAAACAATGAAAAAATGATGAAAAAGATAGAAAAAACAATGAACAATGATGAAAAAGAGAGAAGAAACAATGAAACATGATGAAAAAAAGAGAAACAAAAACAATGAAAAATGATGAACAAGAGAGAAAAAAACAATGAAAAATTATGAAAAAGATAGAAAAAACAAAGAACAATGATGAACAAGAGAGAACAACCACTGAAACATGATGAAAAATTGGAAAACAACAATGAAAAATGATGAACAAGGGAGAAAAAACAAGAAACAATGATGAAAAAGAGTGAAAAAACAATCAAACATGATGAAAAAGAGAGAAAAACAGTGAAACATGATCAAAAAAGGGACAGAAAACAATGAAAAATGATGACCAAGAGAGAAAAAAACAAGAAACACTGATGAAAAAGAGTGAAAAAAACAATGAAACCTGATGAAAAAGAGAAAAACAAACAATGAAAAATGATGAAAACGAGAGAAACAAAAACAATGAAACATGATTAAAAATGATGAACGTGTTTTTTCATTTTTTTATCTCTCTTTTTGATCAGTTTTCATTGTTTCTCTCTTGTTCATCATTTTTCATTGTTTTTTCTCTCTTTTCATCATTTTTCCTTGTTTTTTTTAAAATCTGTTTCATCATTTTTCATTTTTTTTCTCTTTTTCATCATGTGTCATTGTTTTGTCAATGCTTTTCAATTGTTTAATGTTATTTTTGAGCTTTGATAAGGCTCAAAAATACGAAAACGGACAAGATAGAATATTTTCGAGACCCTGGCGCGACATGGCTCCAAATTATATATTTGGAAGCCTTCCATTGCGTGGATTTTTTTCCGTATGTTTTATTGTTTTTGTTGTATTTTTCATATTTTGTTCATTGGTTTTCACTTTTTTTCATTATTTTTCATTGTTGTTCATTGTTTTTCAATTGTTTAATCTTATTCTTTGAGCTTTGATAAGGCTCAAAAAATATGAAAACGGACAAGATAGAATATTTTCGAGACCCTGGCGTGACATGGCTCCAAATTATATATTTGGAAGCCTTCCATTGCGTGGATTTTTGTTCCGTATGTTTCATTGTTTTTGCTGTATTTTTCACATTCCTGGCGTATCAGATAAAACCAACAATTTTGCTAGGTAAATCCCAAAATATTCAGACTTGTTTCCACTACGTTTTGCGTTAAAACCGCAAATTGAGGGTGTGAGGTGGGACCACGCTGTGGACCGGCAACAGCTGTGAATTGCGGGTAGGCATGGCTCCAACTGACTTAGACCCAATAAAACCTATACAACCGCTATATATATATAAATGCACATAAGTATTGTGAAAATCAACATAAGAGCATTTCCACACACACAATGGAAAAAATCCAAGTAATTTGGAGCCATGTCACTCTAGGGTCTCGAAAATATTCTATCTTGTCCGTTTTCACATTTTTGAGCCTTATCAAAGCTCAAAGCATAACATTAAACAATTGAAAAACAATGAAAAACAATGAAAAATAGTGAAAACCAATGAAACAAATATGAAAATACAACAAAAACAATGAAACATACGGAAAAAAATCCACGCAATGGAAGGCTTCCAAATATATAATTTGGAGCCATGTCACGCCAGGGTCTCGAAAATATTCTATCTTGTCCGTTTTCGTATCTTTGAGCCTTATCAAAGCTCAAAAATAACATTAAACAATTGAAAAACATTGAAAAAAACAATGACACATGATGAAAAAGAGAAAAAAAACAGGGAAACATGATGAACAAGAGAGAAAAAAACAAGGAAGCATGATGATAAATAGAGAAACAACAATGAAAAATGATACAAAGAAAAAACAACCATGAAAAATGATGAAAAAAAGGGAACAAAACAATGAACCATGATGAAAAAGAGAAGAAAAACAATGAAACATGATGAAAAAGAGAAAAATGAAACATGATGAAAAAGAGAGGGAACAACAATGAACAATGATGAAAAATAGAGAAACAACAATGAAAAATAATGAAAAATAGAAAAAAACAATGAAAACAAATGAAAAATACAGAAACAACAATGAAACATGATGAAAAATAGAGAAGCAAGAATGAACAATGATGAAAAAAGAGAGAGAAACAACAATGAGAAATGATGAAAAAGAGAGAAAACAAACAATGAAAAATGATGAAAAATAAAGAAAAAAACAATGAAACATGATGAAAAATAAAGAACCAACAATGAAAAATGATGCAAAAAATCATTTTTCTCTATTTTGCATTATTGTTCATTGGTGTTTCTTTATTTTTCATAATTTTTAATTGTTTTTTCCCTCCATTTTTCATCATGTTTCATTGTTGTTTCTCTATTTTTCATCATTTGTCATTGTTTGATTTTTTCTTTTTTTCATCTTATTTTATTTTTTCTCACTTTTTCATCATGTTTCATTGTTGCTTCTCTATTTTTCATCATTTGTCATTGTTTTTTTTCTTTTTTCCATCTTATATTTTTTTCTATTTTTCATCATGTTTCCTTGTTTTTGTTCCCCCTATTTTTCATCATTTTTCATTTTATTTCTCTATTTTTCATCATGTTTCATTATGTTTTTCTATGTTTCATCATTTTTCATTGTTTTTTTTCCATATGTCTCATCATTTTTCATTGTTTGTTTTCTATTTTTCATCATTTTTCATTTTTTTTCTATCTCTTGTCCATCATTTTTCATAGTTTTTTCCAATTTTTTCATCATTTTTCATTGTTTTTGCTTTCTATTTTTCATTATTTTTCATTGTTTTTCATTGCTTTTCAATTGTTTAATGTTATTCTTTGAGCTTTGATAAGGCTCAAAAATACGAAAACGGACAAGATAGAATATTTTCGAGACCCTGGCGTGACATGGCTCCAAATGATATATTTGGAAGCATTCCATTGCGTGGAAAGGCTTGTGTGTTGATTTCCAAGATATGTGTATATACAGTATATATATATATTTGTATAGAGAGATATAGATAATTATATAACCGTGGCAGGAGGGAGTCCACTTGGCATGTTGGCTTAGCTGATTTGTAAAAAGAGGTTTTCGCAGCTTTACTGGGATTTACTGGGATTTCCCCCCCTTTTCCATAATTAAACAAAAACAATGAAAAATGATGAAACAGAGAGAAAAAACAATGAACAATGATGAACAATAGAGGAACAAACAATGCAAAATTATGAAAAAGAGAGGAAAAACAATGAAAAATGATGAAAAAGAGAGAAACAACAATGAAAAATGATGAAACAAAGAGCAACAAACAATCAAAACTGATGAAAAAGAGAAGAACAAAACAATGAAACATGATGAAAAAAAACAATGAAAACTGATGAAAAAGAGAGAAACAACAATGAAAAATGATGAAACAGAGAGCAAAAAACAATCAAAACTGATGAAAACGAGAAGAACAAAACAATGAAAAATGATGAAAAAGAGATGGAAAAACAATGAAACATGATGAAATAGAGAAACCAACAATGAAAAATGATGAAAAATAGAGAAACAACAATGAAACATGATGAAACATAGGGGAAAAACAAGGAAACATGATGAAACATAGAGGAAAAACCATGAACAATGATAAAAAAGAGAGAACACACAATGAAAAATGATGAAAAAAAGAGACGCAACAATGAAACATGATGAAAAATAATAGAAAAACAACAATGAAACATGATGAAAAAGAGAGGAAAAAACAATGAAACATGATGAAAAATAGAGAAAACAACAATGAAAAATGATGAAAAAGAGAGAAACAACAATGAAAAATGATGAAAACGAGAGAAAAAAACAATGAAACATGATGAACAAGACAGAAGAAAACAAGGAAACATGATGACAAAATAGAGAAACAACAATGAAAAATGATGAAAAATAGAGGAACAAACAATGAACAATGATGAACAAGAGAGAAAAAACAATGAAACATGATGAAAAATAGAAAAACAACAATGAAACATGATGAAAAAGAGAGGAAAAACCAATGAAACATGATGAAAAATAGAGAAAACAACAATGAAAAGTGATGAAAAAGAGAGAAACAACAATGAAAAATGATGAAAACGAGAGGAAAAAACAATGAAACATGATGAACAAGACAGAAGAAAACAAGGAAACATGATGAAAAAATAGAGAAACAACAATGAACAATGATGAAAAAGAGAGGAAAAACAATGAAAAATGATGAACAATAGAGAAACAATAATGAAAAATGATGAACAAGATAGGAAAAACAATGAACAATGATGAAAAATAGAGAAACAACAATGAAAAATGATGAAAAATAGAGGAACAAACAATGAACAATGGTGAAAAAGAGAGAAAAAACAACGCAAAATGGCGAAAAGATCGAATATTCTATCTTGTGATTATTTTAATTTCAGAATATTCTATCTTGTGGGTGCTAGACCCTGTGTTTTTGATATTCTATCTTGTCCCGACTAAGAGTACAATATTCTATCTTTTCGCCGGTCGGTATATATATACATGTATAATATGTATGTGTGTGTGCCTGTAATACGTATTGCTATATATATATATAAGGTAACCTCAACAGCAACGAACCCACCAGAGGCTAGGGACCTGGTCGTGGAGCTGCGGCAACGGATGCTGGAGCTGTCCATGGACAGGTTCGGGTGCCGCGTGGTGCAGAAGCTGCTTGGCCAAGGGAGGCGAGGCGTGACGTAAGGGGAGGCCACTTCGATGTGAACTGGTTGAAAGTTTAGGGCGTATAGAGGCCTGTGAATCTCACTGGTTGATTCAGTTGTTCAATCTCACTTCAATCGAAAGTCATGGATTTGTTTCTAGAGCCTATTTGTCAAGTAATTCATGGAAGAAAGGTGACGGAGCTGTTTTGGAAGAACATAATGGCTGGAACAGGGCATGGAAACACAACGGGTTTCAGGCTGATTTCCCTTCAAATCCTTCAACCCAAATGGTGGTGACTTTCCTGGACACAGAGAAGATCCTAGCCATGGCCGTTGGATGTGCATCCCATCTGTGGTTTATAACTCATATGACTTATATGCATTATATATACCCTCTGGTTATTTAACATATAGCCATGGAAAATGGCCCATTTATAGATGATTTTCCCATTAATACCTCCATTTACCAGGGATTTTCCATGGCTATGTTAAATAACCAGATGGTATATATAACACTATATAACCCATATGTAATGGAACCTAGTACATGACTGGGGATAATGAGAGTATAGCATGGTTAGTGATTAGCCACTTACTGGGATGCATTTGCAAGTACTCATTGACTTTGTTGTTTTCTGGCTGCATCTTTGGTTTCATGATTCATGTCAAATGATGTCAACCCCGGATTGATAAACTCTGGTCTATTAACTACTGTAGAGGGATTTGCCGGTTTTTGCCCTCCAAAGTGATCATGTGCCCAAAAAAACAGAGTTGACATCATAAGTATGATTCATCTTATTATCCCAAATGACTCCAATTCCTTGGAGATATCAGGTTGAACATATGTTTTTTAGCCACCCGCCGTGGTGATTTGTTCTCGAGGTTTCTGGAGAAGCTGAAGCCGAAGATCCGAGCTGATCTGGTTTCGGAGCTGATGGATAAAGTGCTGGAGTGCATTGACGCTGGGCTCAGGGACGCCCACGATGAATTTTTGTGTGACACCCAATGGCCGAGCTCATGGAAAAATGATGGTTAGAGTTGGGGAATCATCATCAATCATCTACATCCCAGGAATCAGGCAACAGCTCGCAGGATGCACAGAAAATATGTTTTTTTAAGCAAAAAAAGGAGCCATGCTGCAGCCCGATTTCGGACAGTTGATGGTCTTCCATCATTTTAATATATTTTGATTGTGTTAATCCGAGATTTGCCATGAACTCCTATGAAATCCTTGTCAGATTTGATGGCAAACCCCGAGGAAGATATGCATGGCAACCACGTGATCCAAAAAGTGGTGGAGAATATGCCGTCCGAAGTGGACTTTGTGATTCAAGCAGTGGCGCCCCGTGCGGCTGAAATGGCCTCGCATATGTATGGTTGCCGCATCATACAAAGACTCCTGGAAAACTGTGACTTCTTCAAGAAATTTGTGGTGAACTTCTTGTTTCTTCTTTGTTTGCTGAACTAGTGGGTAACATTAATATCATTAATCATTAATATCCAAATCGAAGCCATTACTCTCCAGTAATCAAACATGACTCGCTGAAACATATTCTATTGTAGGTTTCCATTAAACATCCATCTAAAACCATCTCAAAATATCTAAAACCATCATGATCAACATATACTGACTAAAACCTCCATTTTGCGTTGATCTTCCTATGATTTTCCCCTCTGAGGTGAGCCGTTGAGCATTTCGGAGGTGTTGGAACCCATCGTGGAAGCAAGCGATCAGCTCTCCAAAGACAAACATGCCAACTATGTGGTGCAATGCATCTGGGAGGGGATGATCATGGGAAAATGATGGGAGATCTGAGGGGCGTGTGCTCTTTAAAAAAAAAGCTTGACGAGATCCTGAGAGTATGGACATATTTAATGGGATAGTTTAAAGTGATATTGGACAATGATGGGATATTTTCAGGATGCTGGGATAATGTTGGGATCATGATGGGGATAGAATGAATAGTCAACCAGTAGAATGATGGAAATATGAATATGATGATGATGATGATGATGATGAATGATGAATGATGAATGATGAATGATGAATGATGAATGATTCCGAATGATTCCGAATGATTCCGAATGATATCAGCATGATATCAGCATGATATCAACCTGATACCAACATGATATCAACCTGATATCAACCTGATATCAACATGATATCAACCTGATATCAACATGATATTAACATGATATCAACATGATGTTAACATGATATCAACATGATATCAACATGATATCGACATGATATCGACATGATATCGACATGATATCAACATGATATCAACATGATTATTGATGATTTATGGTAGGACATCTCAGTAATTCCAATTTTTAGTTATATTCCCTATGGGATATTCATCTCGTTTTCGATCACCGGAATGGTGAATGCGGTTTCATTCCTGGAAACCTTTCACGATAGAGGTCCAACAAAAGGAATAATTTGGATGTTATATGGTATAGTTATATATATATACGTATAAATGTTTCATGTGTTTTTTTGGTGTATATATATATACAATTATATGCACATGTGGTACACACACACATATCTATATATATATATATACATATTGTTATGTATATGTTTGTGCTTCTGTGCATCTTCATTTGTATGTCATAGGTTCGATGCGTGTTTCTGACAGTATGTCCAAGGCATTCTGGAGAGGGGACGGCTGCAAGACAAGATACGAATCGTAGCAACTGGGACGGCAAAAATCCTCAGGATCAATGGATTGGTGGAGGGTTTTCATCAACAGGAAACCATGAGTTACCATAGATTTTCCCATGAAATATATGTTTTTTTGTTGCAAATGGTCCCTTAAACCAATCCAATTGAGGATATGGAAAATGGAACGTCACTATTGTTTGATGGCTAAAATGGCTAAAATCATCGAACTATGTTTGTGGAATTTCCATAGCTATGTTAATTTACTGGAGGTTTTGGTTCAAAATGATGACCCTCCAAAACGGATGGTTTGATACCAATATTTTTTTTTTGTTTGGAACCTCTTGGTGTCACACCGATATTGACCCATTCTTAAGTGGAAGGAATTTCTTTGTGTCTTTGCGTGATGAGGTGAACATGGCATGCAGTCAAAGTCAGGTGTTGAGACTGTTTTCTATTAGTGATCCTCTTGTACCCTGGGGTGAAGTTGTTTCACTCCAAAAACCAAACCCCCAAAAAAAGTTTCAGAAATTGCTTGGAGCAGTGGGGATGATCATAAAACCAGTTCGGGAATTTGGATTTTGTATAGCTTTCTATATCCAGATTGTTTCCTAACCACAGCACATAATGCTACGTTCATATTAATAACTCCCCTCAGGGCCTCAGAAAGTCTAAATCCACGAGAAGGTTTTGACCGCCAAATAATGAGCAGCAAAACCAAAAATGGGATTCATGATATTGGGAATGAGATGCATGAGATTTAGCATGACTATCTGGTTGGTGGTTTGGAACATGTTTTATTTTTCCATGTATTGGGAATAACTAATCACCCCAACTGGCTAATGTTTTTCAGAGGGGTTGAAACCACCAACCAGCTATATGAGAAATACTTTGAAACCATTGGTTGTTCAATGGGATTCATGGGATTGAGTATGAGAAAAAATAGGCTTTTCCAGAAGGGTGTGATTTAATTGGCGGGCTGACCACCCATGTAGATTAATAGGGAGGAACCAACCCAAAGTTGATTAATTCGGGGCTTCATACTAATATGAACTTAACATTACCATGTTTCTTATTACTGGGGATACTTTGGTGGAGTCCTGAGTGTCACCCTAGTCACCCCAAATAGCGGAATGGATATCGACAATGGATGACAATGCTATACCGCTACTGGACTGCTGGCCATGAAAATCTGAACAACTGGCTGGTGGTTTCAATGTGTTTCTTTTTCAACCAAACTTGGATGATTGGTTCAGATGACGAACATATTTGTGGGAAGGCTTCCAACCACCAACGAGACAAGCTTGTGCAGTGTGTTTTCTTGGCAGTTCTTGCGGATTCCAAAAGCCATCGTTGGATTGTCACAAAATTATGAATGGAACCTACAAAACAATAATAAACTATCCCCCAAATCACCATACATGGGTTGTATAAACCATTCCCAAATGGCTGGTTTATGGCATCGTTTTAACCACATCAACCACCATTGCATTCCGATGTCGATGTGAACAGCTGGCCATCCCTTTTGTCAGGAAATTGTGACTGCCAACGTGCTGGAGCTTGCAAAGAACAAGGTCTCCAGCAATGTGGTGGAAAGGTGTTTTGAAGCCACCACCGTGGGACCCGATTCTGCCGAATTGGTGCCACTGGGATTTGACGGCTGGTGGTTTCAAAAAGGTTTGCTCACTGTACTTTCGACCCTTAGGAGCCCGAATGAAACCATCATCCTGCACTGGTCATGGTTTGTTGATTTGATTCGAAGTATATTCGAAGTAGTTACGTAGTTATCCTTACTTAGCGGTTTGCTACGGACAGTCACAATTGTTCATTGTTGTTCCAGATTTGTTTTGGTATGTATCATCATGTTTATGATCTATGTCAATGGGCCATCTATACCATAGCACACCGTATCAAATAGCCAGACCCTCGAAAAAGGAAAGCACTGATGGCATAGTCATGATCGCCAGCAGAAGATAAGAGAACAGTGGTCAACGAAAGTTTTGATGATGCTTGAGTTGGGGTAGTGCTCATTTTTGTTCATTTTTGTGAGGTAGGAGTTGAACAGACCAAGGAATGAAAGAACTGCGTTGATGTCTGCGGTCTTGGGATCTTCTGGTGATACTCGGGCACCCTTTGCCCAACTGATGACTGACAAGTTTCTTGCTTGCAGCTGGGAGTGCTAGCTTCAAATATGACCATCATTGCTTTCGTCATCCCCAAGCTGGTTGATGCACGATACCAATACACAGGAGAATAATACATACATAATCAGCTAGTTCGGTATGTAAGCATATGATGCATATAATATATATATATTATATCCCCACATATCTACAAGACTAGACATGACTAGACTATGTTTGTTTGCAGATGTGTGTAGATGGATTAGACGGACTGGCTGGGTGGATGGATGGATGGTGGGTCAATCCAGGGTGACTAGTTCTTGCTGAAAGACTCGAAGAGCAGCTGTGTGTTGGACCACATTCTGGGAAACTTTCGCAACCTCACTTCAGGATGTCACTATGTCACTATGTATGATGGTCAACAAGGTGAATCAGCACAAAATGGTTTCACAACATGTTTGATTCTAAAATCACATGGATCATCAGGTGCTTGGTGCCTGAAATGGACCCTTGAGATGTCGTCATGCCCCCTGGCTCGTTATTCTCAGAGGTTCGGCAACTATACGGCGCAGAGGATCATTGAGCATCTTGCCTCAAGGAACACCAGGGGAACAAGGGTCGGTCCCCCACTGGTGGATGACATGTAGTGCCATGTGGGGTAGCGCAATGTCGTGCCATCATGGCGTGGAGAGGTGGTGTTGTGATAGTGCAGTTTGCTTCCAGTGGTTTTACTACTCTTCAGACTAAATGAGAAAGAGAAACAACAAAAGCAACCAATGGAATGAAGCAGCAAGCACTGCAAAAGCAACAACGAAGACTAAGGGAATCAACCAAAAAACATGGAGAAGAACAAAAGCACAGATCTATTGAATTTCAAAATCGAAACTCATCTTGCGGCACGAAGCTGAACCCACTCCCTTTGTTCCTATTTCTCCTTGGTGCTGTTGAGGTACAGCCGCGGTGACGATTGGGAGGAGCTGAAGCGTCGGGTGGAAGCTGTACAACATGACTTAAAGAACTCACCCACAGGCGGGGGATGATTGAGACATGGAACAGAAAAAAAGGCGAGGGTCGACCGGGTCAGATGGTCATACCGTCATACCGATACTCATATGGGATTATATAGAGATGTTTATGCAATGTGACATGATTTTACATGCTGATGTCAATATCAGCCAATAGACTCAATAGACCATGGCGCATAGATTGTCATCATCCGTACCATATATGCATTCCTTCTTGCTCGAAGCACGATGAGATACCTGTTATGAATTGTGATGATGTGTGATGGTATGGATAGCATTTTACAAGGAGAAACTCACGCCAGCAATCTGCCGCATCGCTCACCACAAAGGATGGGGATCCCACCAACCGGGCTTTGGCACGGCTCGTTTCTGCTTTGACAATGCAGCTCCTTAGTTGGTTCCGGAAGGGTTTTCATTCTTTGGCAGAGGTTGAAAGCAAGTTTAAGCAAGATGTATGTATGTATATATATATAAATACATAGTTTGTTGGTGAGCACGCATGATTCTGGATAAATTACGACGCACTCACTGTGATGGCACTGGAACGATGGTTATATAATGTTATATACCGGCAATCATCCCCCAATGGCCTTATGTCATCTTATTTCAGCATGCTGCTGGGAGATTTATTTCAGCAATTTAGTGAATTATTGTGATTTATGATTCAGCCAGCCTAAGCCCCATATTCCCATGATATTCCCTTTATATTCCCATGTGTTGGTTTTACTCCTATTAATTATATCCCCATATATGCCCCATAACCAGAATTGCTTCACCCTCAGCCTGTGAAAATACCGTTGAATCCACTGGTGAATCATAGTTTTCCTATTAAGGTTGCAATTAAAAAAAGGATGACCATTTACCATTCTCAGATCCCCATATCATGATGTGGTTTATGGATGTTTATGGTGTAAATCCTTTGAAATATCCCAAGTATATCCCAACTGCTCCCAATATTTGATGTTTCGGTGGTTCTGGAGGTAAGCACATTTTGGCTGCCTTGGCAAAGAGGAAGAACCATGGTGTCACGGTGGAGCGGTGTTTTACCGAAGATTTCAGTGGAAGATAGCTATATCTCTGGACATTTTCCAACGATAGATTGGATTCTCTATACGTTCTATAATGTTGTGTATATATATATATACCCATAGGATCCATGTATGGTATATATGCTAGCATTGGGGGTATATTGATGGTAAATGTTACCATATATAGCAGCACCATGGATCCTATGGGATATATATATATATAGCAATTCTTTGGTATGGACAACATGTTGATATCACTTTATTTGGAATGATAATCTTGGTGGCTCATTCCAGGGTTTTCGTAAATGAGTTACAACTAACCCCCTGTGAAATGACAACTAACCTTACTTACCCTATTGCTTATAACTGGGGTTCTAACCCACTTACTAACTATGATGAGCCATCAAGATGGAATACATACATATGTATATATATATATATATGTGTGTGTGTGTGTGTGTCCTATGTCGTATAATTATAAGTGCCTCAGGATGGGAATAATATAGCTGACTACTTGGAACATCTTGGAACAATGGCCATATAGTCCGGACATTATATAAGTGCTTTGGTAACAACCAGAGATGTACCAATCCAAGAGATGGATCAAACTGAACGGAATCTTCAATTTATACACGGTGTAACACGTTAAAATCAAAACCATTTCTGGCTACTCTCCGGTCATTTAACGTAGCGATTGAACACGGCCAATTTATGGACTCTTTATCTACCAAAAATTGGTGATTTCCTTAGAAAACTGTAACTAATTACCAGAGGGTATCAAGAGATATACCCCAGCGCCTGATTAAATCATTTACCCTCTGGTTATGACTAACAGTTTGCCATGGTATAGATGGTTTACCTATTAAAAAAATGTAATTTTCCATGGCAAACTGTTAAATGACCAGAGGGTACCACATATTTAGCTCAGGGACCATCCGGGTCAGTGGTGGAGAAAAACCCCAGCTGTCAAGAACGACGGGTTGGACCACATTGTCCTCCTGTAATCAGCCAGTGGCGATAGGGGATTTTCCGATAACCCATAGGATCCATGTAAGGTATATATGCTAACATAAAGGGGATCATTGGGGCTATATTGATGGGATCCATGTTACCATATATAGCAGCACCATGGATCCTATGGGCAATAAATGGAGCTTATTTTTTTGGGGAATTTCCCACATCCATTGAAGCTGCTGAAACTTCCGGGCCCAGGAAAGCCAACGTTTGACCAGCACCGTGCGAAAAGAACGCGTTTTTGGGATGATCGATGGTCGGCATGGGTAATGGAAAAACCATGGATCAATGGAAGAAGCGGAACGGCTGTTTCATGGGGGGTACCATTGAAGATATTGAAGTATAAGGTGATAAATGGTGATAAATGGTGATAAATGGTGATAAATGGTGATAAATGGTGATATAACTATTTGGGGAGCACCTTCTAATTGATTAAAAAAATGGTCCATGAATCCAGGGTTGACATAGTACCACTACAGATCTGACGAAAATCTGCGACTTCCGTTGGGGAGGCTCCACCAATCCTTTTGGCCCTGCTTCGACGGTAGGTGGTTCGAGGTGGCATCGGCATGTGAAGTTCGCCTGGCCTCGCTGCAGGTGGGGATTTGTTGCAAGGTTGCAAGGTGGAATTCACCAGGTTGATATCGGCTGACATTTAGGGAGATGAATTGCAGCAATGTATCAGCCAAAAGTGTAAATTAAGATGTGGGATATAGGACGATCAAGTATTTATCCACTGCACATCTTTGGACTCGCTGAAGTTTTTTCCCACCATTTGGGCAATCTACTGGGGAGAGATGTTGGGCCATCTTAAACATATAACATAACAACTATTAAATTTGTTCCACGAAGCCATGTTTTGGCTTTCACAAGACAGGGGGGGACCTGTCAAGTCCATCCAACTCGGGAGAAACATCAGCCACGTTTTGGGAACGGCATGGGGTTTAAAAAACACTCTCACCGGTCAAAACTTGGTGATATGTCCAACAAAACACCAACAACAAAACAAACAGGCGTTGACTTGGAATTGCGACCGTGCCTTCATCGGTTCTTGAAAACCACTGCTTCTTTTTTGTTGGCCCCAAAAAAAGGGGGCCCTCCGAGGCACAGTACCCGCAGCAACTGCAGTCCCTCTTTGTGGAGCATCTAGGAGTTCCACTCTTGAGCTCTGTGGAGGTAGCCAGTGGATGGTCAATGATGGTCATGCCGTGCAGCTTCAAGTTTGGAGCTAAAATTGACTTGATGGACCATATTTCAATGCTTGGAGTTTTATTTATTGATTTGTTGGTATTGTTTTCATCATAACTTCATTGTTGATGTGTTCAAACTGTCTCAATCATACTGATCCAGGAATTGTTGGATGATGAGGGTACCCGGTGCAAACCCACTAATCATATGTCCAATCATATTTCAACCCATCAAAATTGTCATTACCCCACAAACGCGCTTTTGCCCTTCAAACAGACCATTAAGATTGTGGAGTTTGTTTTTTGTTGGCTTTGAGTGATTCTTGTTGTTCTTATCCCTCTGTGTATTGTGTAAGAAATAATGTCATTGCATCAAGATAGCTTTCCTACCCCTACCCATGAGGAAGCACTTGGATTCTTATTTGGCCATCTGTGATGCTCTATGATCTTGGCTTAACTGCCACTGGATAGATAGATAGATAGATAGATAGATAGATAGATATATTTCCTGTACTCGACCAGGAGGTGCATCCTTAAGATGGACCCTTCGGGATGTTTTAAGCCCACGCCCCACTGGTACTCAACACCCCCATGGGATGCAACCAGGAGTTTGTTTTGGGAAGGAAACAAACCTTTTGACAGGAGAAAGGTTAGTTTTCCTGGTTGAAACGTTTATAGACGGAAAGGTTTGTTTTGCAAGCCGAAACTAACGTTTTGGCGCTGCCCAAGCTTCGGCCTGAAAGCAGTGGAAAGAGAAAACAAAGGTTTTACTCCCAAAACCAACGTTTCCCCTGCGAACAAGTAAGTTTCTGGGCTCGAAACAAACCGTTTTCGGAAACGTTAGTTCGAAACTGGAAACTCAAAACAAACTCTGTTGGAGTTAGTTTCAAAACCTCGAAAACAAACCCTTTTTGCGTGTGGTTTGTTTGTTTTTGAGAAAACGTTTGTTTTGAAAACGTTTGTTTCGAAAACATTTGTTTTGGGTGCGGAAGCAAACTATTCGACAAAACCTTTGCTTTGGGTTGAAACAACTGACTGCCACCCTGCCAAATTGAAAGGTTTGTTTTTTTATGGGCATGGAAAACTTTTGCTTCGAACAAAAGCGTTGTTTGAAAAACTTTTAGTTTTAAAAAAGTTAGTTTTCCAGGCAATAACACTCTGTTTCGAGCCGCGTTGGTTGTTGACCGCCACCACCCAATTGTAGCCATCATCGTCATGTCGCTCTTGTCTTTTTGCTGTTCCTTTCCTTTGCATTTTTCTTGTGCTGCCTCTTGTCGATGTTGCTGTTGCTGTTGTTGGCTGGTTGGCTGGCTGGCAGGCTGGCTGGCTGGTTGGTTGGTTGGTTGGTTGGGTGATTGGGTGATTGGGTGATTGGGTGGTTGGGTGGTCGGGTTGTTGTTGTTGTTGTTGTTGTTGTTGTTGTTGTTGTTGTTGTTTTAAACAAATTTGCGTGCATTGGCAACGCTTTACTCAACAAAACAGTTTGAAAACTATTCACGGTAAGGCTTCATTCCAAATATGTTCCGTAACGATGCTCGCATTGAATTCCAACACTACTTCCATAGCACGAAGGTCTTGCACCAGCGACATTTGCTGCATGCAAGATCCAGCCGGTCCATACTGTACCAGGCCGGAATGCCTGGAAACACGCCAACGCACCATCTAATTTCCAAGTCGCATTTGCCGGCTTTCGAAGAGTTTCGAAACTTTAGTTTTCCTGGCCGGTCTCTGAAACGTTTGTTTCCGGTCGTAACGCGCACCTTTTCCGGCTCAAAACCGTTGTTTCCGGACCCGGAAACTAACCTTTTCCCAGGGGCTCGGACACGTTTGTTTCTCAGCCGGAAACAAACCTTTTGTCCCAGAGTTAGTTTGTTTCCCCCGCCGCCTCCCCCAAAGCCAGCCAGGCCCCGGGTTTCGAAATAAAACTTTTCCACTGAAAACTACCTTTTTTAACTTGAGTTTGAAACATGCTGACCGCATCCATACTCCCCATTGTATGGTCCCAAATATGTGTTTGTACCACCCTCCTTTTTGCCATTGTTTCTGGGGTGTTTAATATGATCGGGAAATGGGATTTGATCCTTAGATAATCCCATATATTCCAATTAGGTTGCTAATTTCCACCAAACATAGTTATTAGTTACTTTTAAAATTTTCATCCCCATTCAAAATCTATAGATCATTAATCATTATCCTATTGAATAATGGTTAATATCCACTTATAATTACTATTAGGCTGTTATATTCGTATCATTATATACTTGCATCCTACATGTCATCCCCATCAGGATGGGTCAAAAACATGTTCACAACGCAGCAGCGACAACCCAGTGATCACCAGGTGCAAGACCGCTTACGCGCTGTGGCGCTTCAGTTGCATTGGTTTGTCATCATGAATCTGGGCGAAAACGGATATGACGTGAGATCTATTTTGCCCGGTGGGTGCAAGTACCTGAATTTACTTTTACAAAGTCTTCGGGGTATGATTTGGGGGGTTGAGTACCCTCTGAGGACTTGTTTGGATCCATAGGGTATATATAGTGACGCCAAAGCAGAAACGTAATTTAGCTCTATTTTGGAAACAGAATTTGTTTTTTCTATGTTTTTGGAGGGTACAATACCGGTTGGTGGTTTCATTTGTGTGCTTTCAAGCCTACCTAGCAGCCCTAGCAGCCCTAGCATGATGATCCCAGTTGACCAATTCATTTTGTTCAGACCGTCAAGAATATACATACGTTACACCATTACACCGTGTTGTTTTGCACCATATAGATATAAAATGATGATGAATGATGTATACAGCTTGATTTTTGTATGTCAATGATTGTGAATATCTGTATATCTGATTGTATATGTATACTGTATGATTCGATAGGTATAGCATCATAGAGCTATCCTTTCGTTTCACATGGGATGACTTCACTGGCGACAATGTTGCTGGCGACTTTGAGCTGAGATTGGTTGATGGATGTTGATGGATGTTGATGGAACTGTATATGCATGTTTAGTATTATATATAGTCTATAGTATTATTCTTTATGTACATAGTTACATAGTTACATAGTATGTATATATATATACACGTAATTATAACCTTCAATCCCTATGTTGATTCGATTCCCATTCTCACTAGAGGCTTTAGCATGGTGGCATGAAAACTCCTGTTCCGACGGCATCACAGGCCTCGCTTGAAGACCCTCAGGCACTGCACGATGCGTGCGCAGGGAGGTGCTGAGACTGCCATCCCCTGTGCTAGTCTCACTATGGCATACCATGGCAGAATTGTGTGCAGATTATCATTGATGATACTGATGATCCTATGACAAAAGTTGGATTTCTCATTGGCATCTTAGATTACTGGCAGCTTGGGCCTGTTTTTGGTCCAGAAAGCCGTCATCCGTACCGTGAAGCACTTTCACGGCTGTTTCTCTTACACCGTGAAGCGAGGTTGGGTTAATGGGTGATTCTGTTGGCCCACGTCAGCCATAGATGGAGGACTGTGTCAGATCCTTCTTATTTTTGTGTAGAGTTTCTTCAGTACCTGTCATGACACCCCAGTTGAATACAGCATGATGAAATGTGTATGCTGAAAATCCCCAAGTGTTCGAGGAAATCCTCATGAATCCATATCGAATCATATACTGGTTGGTGGTTTGGAACATGAATTTTATTTTTCCATATATTGGAAATGTCAGCATCCCAACTGACATACATATAATATATATATATAATATACACAGTATTTTTTTCAGAGGGGTAGGTTGAAACCACCAACCAGATCATCTAAATCGAGCTATCTTGATGGGTGAATTCTTCAAGACGACTCGCGGCAGGTACCAATGCTTGGCCAAGTTGTGGTCTTCGGAGCTGGAGGACCGCACTTGTTGATGCTGCCGTGATGATTTTCCATGGCGACCATGGCAGAAAATGTCAAGTCACCCACAAGCCAAAAATGCCGGTGAACTGCTAACACGAGGCAAGCTCCAAAATCTAGGCGTTTCAGGCAGTTCCTTAGCACCATAATCCTTCATTCGCTAGGAGTCAGCCATTGGACCCCCACCTTGAAGGGCCCCATCCTGGGTGGCATGACATGTCTTGCATTCAGGATGTAGCACTGCAATACATAAAGAACGACCTGGCCAGTTTGATCTTTGTGTTCGCGCCTAAGAACTGCAAAAAAGACGCCGTGATTTATGGTTGTAGAATTCATGGGTTTCTAGACGCATGTTGACACAATATTATGAATTGATTGTTTGATGCTTCGATCATTGGGATGGTTTCAGAGGCATTTTGCAGGAACTCAAAGTTTCCACTATGAAAAAAAATATTCAGGTAAATGTTTGTTTGTTTTTTCCCTTCAAGTTCTCCAATTGATCCTTGGAAATTTGAGTCCCAAACTTAATGATTGGTCCCAGTACCAAGGCCGAGCTCTCAAGAGAAGCTCCAGCCTGATGTAGGGGAAGCCTAGCCATGCCTAGCCTGGAGGTGAGAACAATCCAAGGCTTTTGAAGTGGGCAGTTCTGATTTCAAAATGCCCTAAATTGGCCCAATTGTTTTTACTAGATGCGTTTTCCTCTGTCAAAAACGGGGAGATCAAACGAAGGAGGAGGTGTGATCTCGCCAATGAACATGACTCTCCTTACCAATGAACAACGGATCTGGCTTACGACCAGCGACACTAGTCACTAGACGTTCACGCAGGACTATGCTAGCGACCATCCAATGTTTCAGATCTAAGATACCTCAGGGTTGCGAGAAGAGAAAGTCTTGGACGTGCCAAGAATTCCTGAATGATCATCCTTATCCGCCTCACAATTTTATTTTTGTTGATCTTTTTGCATGCTATGCTTTGGCTCAGTTTGCCGCAGGGGTTGTTTGCATCCTGCCGCGGACGAACCGCCCACGTGCAGACTCTTTCCACATTTTCGTTTGACGTGGGCGATAGGAAACAGCCATGCCGGAAGCTGAGCAACTTGCTGAAGAGAACCAACGGCTGAAGAAGGACCAGCAGCATCAACAGTTCTGACTTCATTATTGAAGCGTTTCATCGGAATTGGAACCAGATCTGGGGTTTAGAAAATCAAACTATAACCCAACCCCCAATTTATTTGGATTTAACTGAGGTGGACAACTGCTGCATGAGGATTGTATCTTCCGAGATGAGACATTTCGGACTTCCATTGCAGTTTCCGCACTGCAGGAGCTCAAAAATCTCCAGCAGCAGCGTGAGAAGGAAAAGAATGAATTTGACGCGCAGCAAAAATGGATTGGTTGGGAAAGACTTCTGGAAACCCATAGCTTTTACTAGTAACGAATCTATCATAGCTTTTTCCGTGCGTATTCCTGTAGATTTTATTTACCATGCAGTAATTAAATGGTGTTCCATGGGTTTTCCACGGGTTGAGATTATCCCAACATCCAATTCTCGAAACTTGCTCCATGTTGGAGGTTCATTCCGTGTGCTCTCTAACTGATCCTAGAAACATATGAACCTGGCATGAAACACCCCTGATTGCTTGATATAGTAGAGGGTACCTCTCCCTTTGTTAAACCAACCAGTAGGCTGTGTCTATCGTGGGTCCAATCTTTCTCCAGACCTTGAGGAAAGCAAGATTGCGTCAGAACGAGAAGCCGGAAAGAGCCATCAAGAGTCAGCCATGCAACGGACACATGAGTTGGAAGCCATGAAAAGTGCCATGGCGATTCGAATCGCCAAGAAAGAGGAGTACCCTCTGGTAAACTAACATAACTATGGAAAATCACAATTTTTCATGGGAAAATTCACTATAAATGGTCATTTTCAATAGCTATGTTAAATTACCAGAGGGTACATGTTTTGCACTTCAAGCCTATAAAAACCCGCAAGAAAACTTCACAATGACAAGGCCAAGGAAATATATGTTGAAATATTGCTATCTGAAAGGTGATGTGTTGCTTGGTAGTTTCACACCATCTTATTGGCTCTCCTCAGCTGGATACCTCTCAATGGCTGGGGTTCTGTGCAAAGACTTTTGTAGTCTGCACACGGGGGAAAAAAACCAAAGACGGGAAGAAATTAGATTGTAAGACTTCTACCCCTGGATCTATGTCAGTGGGCGGCCTCTGATATGAATGGATCTACAACAATGCCATTCTACCCCCAAAACAATATCCTATAAGTGAAGGTTACAGTAACCCGATTCGCACCAATACCTGCGATTAAATATCTTACATTCAAATTAAGTCCATTCATACTGCCTCTATTCAAATATGAAATATGCATATCATCTCCAAGCAGTACCAGAATTTCTCCCCTGTTTTTACCTCGCCCAGAATCCTGGTCAAACCCCACCTGCAGCGCAGCGCTGCGACCGAGGTAAGATGGTGAAGTTGACCCGCCAGTTGGACGAGGAGGTGCAAAAGCGCGACCAGGTCTCGGCGGAGTCGCAGCAGTTGGAGCGACGTCTCCAGGACGGACGGAAAGCGGCTTTGACGATCGAACTGGCGCGACGAACGCTGGGGAGAATTCATGGGATTTCATGGGGATAAATGTGGAGAAATGTATAGTATATAACCTGGGGAGAAATGTATAGTAACCTATCCTTTAAAAATCACTTCTTAGATCTTGTTGGTTGGTTTTATAGCCAAATGGATAGCGATGATGAATGGGATATAGCCAATCAAAATTGGTAACCTCAAAAAGATGGAACATGAGTCTTTATCACTTGTTTCAAAGAGTTTTCCCGACCATGTGATGACGATATGTGATGGGGATGTAAACAGCTGCAACATAGGGATCATAGGGTAACGTTTGGTAATTTCATATCCAAGAAATTGTATTTTGAAAGAATACAAGTAACAATGTGATTTGGCCACCGAGACACAGCGATATAAGCCACGGAAAACATGACGACAAGTGGCGACATAGTTGCAAGCGCATTTGATTTAGCTAAGAGGCAGAGGTGATAGAATCAACTCAACAAGATGATCAAGCTAGCGGAGTGACCATCAAGCAGTGTGGATATGACCAAGCAGAAATGATAACCGACAAAAAAAATCGGCATTTGAAGAACGGAGAAGGGAATGGAGTGCAAGACGCTAGGAGCAAAGATTGGGTATATGGGAATGTCCATGGTGTTATTTCTTTTAAGGAGTTGTTTCGTCAGACTTTGATTTGTGATTTCAAAAAACACTACAGTAGACAATCAGTACATATTATGGTTCTTGGTTGCGGGGATATATATATATATATACTTTTTGAAGGTTAGCCATATGCAGGATTGAACAGGGAGCCTTCAGTCAGCTCAAAGCGATCATTTGTGCTGTCAGTGTTTCATCGTCGTTCCTTTGGCATCTTTGCGGGCCAATGCAATTGTTTTCACAGGCTGGTGGTTTCAATGAGGTTTTGCCCCAATGACTTTCCTATTTTCAGTGAGTGTGTTTACACACCACCACTTCATGACGTGGCGAGTTGCTCGACTTGCTCCAGGACTTGACCAAAGGCACAGCTGGGGCACAGCCTACGTCTCCCTCTTCCGGTGTGCCAAGTGACGAACAAGCTCTTCGCGAGCGTGGCAGCCAGGTGCGATGGTTGAAAGATGTGGATCGAAACCTGAAAAAACACACAAAAAAAAACACAGAATTGGACATGTGGGGAGGATGAACATCCAGCGAATTCTTCAGCCATTTTTGGGCGAACGGATGGTAGAACATTGGTAGCACCAGGGTTTTGAATGGTTTTGAGTCATACATAGTCATACCATACCCATCCGATCCCGTTCAAATCCCAACTTTCATTCTCTTCAGAGGGGTTGAACTAGCAAAATGAGCTTGCAGGAGTTTGATATCATATTTCATTTTATCCACGTCTCCACTACGCCCCATGAAATACCCCCATTCTACCATCAGCCAACATCAGGCAACCGTCATAAACATCATTTTTATAATATTTTAGATACTTAATTTAATGACGCATGGCCCACAGGAATGCGTATCTTTCACTGTGGATTTGATCAGAGATGTGGGTCTATCATAATGGTTTCTGTAGTTGCTGATTAAATCCTGGTACAATCGGTCTATATACCCTCTGGTAATTTAACATTGCTATGGAAAATCACCATTTTTAATGGGTAAATCAACTATAAATGGCCATTTTCAATAGCTATGCTAAATTACCAGAGGGTAATCTCTATGTTATTTCAATCCGCCATCAGATTATTTGTTTTGGTACCAGCCCTGTTTTTCGTTAACGATACCATGGCCAGGTCTCAACCAAGCTGATGCGCGTGGTGGATCAGCAGCCTAGCTGCAATTCACTGACCGAAAAACATCACGGCAGTTTTACCGAAAAACGATGCCGTAAACCACCCATAAAAATGGGAATGGTAAGCTTATACCACCTATACAAATGGGAATTTGGGGATGTTTTATTATTGTTTTAGATATTTAAGCTACAACCAAAGGGGGTTCCACCAACAAACATGGCAGTTTTAGACTCTGCTGTCGCCCCAAATTCCACCGCTTCGTTTCGTCGGCAGGGTCGTCTGTCCAAACGCCACGTGAAAGGGATTGGAATTATCAGTACTTTGAAAAATGGAGCTTCATTCTTTGAGTGATAATTAATAGAATTGATATAGAACATCTCAAAGCACTTATCCTATAGCAAAAATATGTAAAACACGTCTATAGAAGCATTAACAATTTCCACCAGTTTTTCCATCATTTCCTCCACATTTTTCGCACAGGGTGGTACCACCGGTGGTACCACCCCCCAGTTACGAATTGACTATTATACCCACAGATTGATAAACACATAGTCACTAGATGTGACATGATGTAACTATATATATCTACAATATTCTACAATAGTGATAATATATATATATAACAGTATATATGCATATATATATATATTATACACCCAGTAGATACATCTACATATTTATATATATATATATATAATATCTGCATGATTCGCCAGGTGGATGCGGCAACGTGACCTGCAACAAGCGCTGCTGCGGGGCGCCTCCATCAACGATACGGCCTTCGCCACCTTGGTGCAGGCCTTGAACGATTGCCCGTCCTTGCAGACCCTGGATCTCTCGCAGTTTCTCGGCGCCAATGCCTGGTGGTTGATGGTGGTTGATGGTGGCGGCGCCAATGGTGGTTGATGGTGGTTGATGGTGGCTGGTAAAACAGTAGGTTTTTACCATTAAAAACCATGGTGGCTGGTAAAACAGCAGCGGCTTTTACCAGCCACAAAACATGGAGAGATGGAGTTTTGAATCAGGGAAAATGATGAACACATGGTAGAAGACCGTGTTTTGAGCATGAATAAATCTTGTTTACCCGTGGTTTACCCATGAAAAATTGGCAACACATGGCAAAACATTGTGATTTAACCCAAGAATAATGATGGACACATGATGAGGGTGAGACATTGGGTTTTAGGGATGAAACAATGTGACAGTGTGGTTTAACCACTATATATACTGTATATACATAAAACAATGAACCATGAACACTGGTGAAACATGGTGATTTTATCTTCGTAATGGTGATGTTACCATCAAACAATGGTGGCCTAATCCCGAGAGAGAGGTGGTATAGTGGTGCTTTAGTAGGGGATTCACACCTACTGGAACCCATAAATGGGTGTGTTTGATATTAGGGAGATGGGATTACTGGATAAAATGTCAACACTGGATTATGTGGATTTAATCTGGAATCCAATGGTGACACATGGTGATTTAATCACAAACGATGAGCGTCCTTAACTCGTGATTGGTGTGTCATATGGTTTGATATTATGCCACAAGAATGCCACATTTCAGGGTCACGGCCAGGGTCATTTTGGGGCGGTATGACTCGATAATTTTGACGAGGTCTTTGAACTTCCGTCACTTCAGGGTGTAGGTCAGATGATCATAAGTGGTGTTTTTTTGGGGTATTTCTTATGTTCACCCGTGCTCCTTTGGAACGATACTCACCTCTTTACAGTATATTAGCCCCAAAACAGATACCCTCTGGTTTTTTTTAACAGCCATGGAAAATGGCCCATTTATAGATGGTTTACCTATATGAAAATTGAATTTTCCATGGCTATGTTAAATAACCAGATGGTAATCCATCTCATCCCATCCTGGTCTCACACGAGGGCCCGGGCATTTTTCTGGGAGGTTCGTGTCAGCAAAAATGCCCAACTGGCAGTTTGTTTCAGTCTTAAAAGAGCCTCCTGACCCATCTCATAACGCACATTTTAGAGGTTTTGCACTACTTTAGGTGAATAGGTGAAATATCACATTTGGGTAATTTATAGAAAGATTATTATGGGAAACCATAAGAAATTGATAGGTAAGAGTTTTCAGTGTTGAATCCTTCCCCCCTTTCATATCCAACAACCACCAAAAGAAACCATGGTGGATGTACGAACAAAATCACATCAAGGGACCATAGAAGGAGGGTGTTTAATATGACCAGGGAATGGGATATAATGGGATTATGTTAGATCTATATAGCTAAGCCCTCTAAAAGGTGATATGTATCACCAAGTTGGAAGATCATCGCTTTGATCGTAGCTGGCTGGGGGTTGTGGCGGCAATGCACGTGGAATTGGGATATCGTCCTCTGTATACTTGATAAAAAAGCTATAGCATTTTTTTCAACGAAGACGAAGCGCAATTACTATTTACCTATTTACTTCATTTAGGTGGGATGTCCCTTTGAAGCCTTCAAATACCATTTGGCAGAGTTACCTGCCAGTGGTTTGAGCATCACGTTAGATGCATGGAACATTTCAATGAAAGGTGCCAATCCCTCGTTGAGGTTAATTGCATTGGGTCCACTTCAGGCTTGTAGGTCGAGGCTAAAATCGGAACCTCCACATAGAAAGAAATCAGTTGGAGCCCTGGAAATTATGTTTTAAATACCCTCTGGTTATTTAACATAGCCATGGAAAATGGCCCATTTATAGATGGTTTGCCTATTAAAACCTCCATTTATAAGGGATTTTCCATGGCTATGTTAAATAACCAGAGGGTATATTATGGTATATTTAGATATAATCTGCTACATTTGGGAAAGACTGTTCTATCGGTGACTGTTCTGACCAACCCAGGAATCTGCTGACGATGGATTCGTGCTCGGACTTGTGCCAATTGATCACCACCGCACCCAGCCTTTCGTTCATCTCCTTAGCCGAGAACTTGTTCTCCCTTCGTTCAGTGGGATATTTCATGACCGCTGTGATGGAGAGGCAGAACACCAAGAAGCTTGGAAGCATTGTCGTTCTTAAGGAACAGCCCCAAAATGCGGCCATGCGGAATGCCAGCTGCATCACTGGACGCCATGTATATCTGAAAACAAACCCACATGTTCATGGCTACTCATCATTTTCCAATCATTTTCCCATCATTTGCCCATCATTTGCCGATCATTTTCCCATCATTTTCCCACCAAACATTGCCATAAATTGTAAGCATTGACAGGTGGAAGACGTTTGTTCACACCAGAAGCCGCATGTCTGCGAAACAAAAAGCAGTCCTGCTCCGCATATTATCTGGTTGGTGGTTTGGAACATTTTTTTCCATATATTGGGAATAATCATCCCAACTGACTAATATTTTTCAGATGGGTTGAAACCACCAACCAGTTATACATTTATTACGTACATTTATATATTATATTGTTGACATTTATGGAGAATATTTCACTGATCTCGCCATGGATCAGATCCATATCTCCGCTGATCAAATCCCCATTGTTGTAGTGAACATATTTTAATGTCGACTATAAGATACGTCAGTTGTGTCAGGTAGGATCTCCGTCCTCCATTTTGCTGCTCTGATCCCGAGTTTTTGTTGGTTGAGTCGCAGGTTTGTGTGACTCAAATCCTCTTGCTTGTCAATCAACAACATATTTTTTGTCAGTTAAGATCCTGATGTTTGTTAATCAAACCCAATGTTCTGTGAGCTAAATCCTCATTCTTTGTCAGTCAAAACCTTATGTTTCTGAGCGAAGCCCCGTTTCTGATCCCAAAATCCATTGGATTTTCCTGAAAAATCCCGCAGTTTTGGGGTTGACTTCCCATTCCCCAACTTTTCACCTCCCAGACCCTCCCTATGAAAAAAACGCCCCGTGGAGATCCCCCGGATCAGGAAGCTGATGCCCTTAGACCTCCTGGACCTTCAGGGCAACGAGGGCCTGGTCGCCGCCGCTGCGGCGCCGGTGCCGGAGCAGTTGCTGACGCAGGTGCAACAGGCCATGCAGCGGCACCTGGGACCGAATTTCCCATGGAAAAACTCGCTGATTTTCGGAAGTTAAAAGACAGATCTAGGGGTGATATATTGATGGGTAATGGAGATGGAGAGAGAGAGAGAGATATCATATAAAATAGACATATTTAACATCCCCAACCTTGGGTAGAAACTAATCATCTGTTTTGGGTTCTGTAAATGAACAATAAAGCATCAATAGCAAAAGATGAATATGTTTGGTGGACTACCATAGGTGGACCATGTTTTGGGGATGGAACATGGACATTCCTATATGGGAAAACAAAGGAGTTATTATGGATATGGGCTATAAATCAGTGTTGAGATAGAATATTGGGAGCTGGCATTTTTTATTCGTTGATGTTCATTTGGATTGACATGTGTTTTGCGGTTTTAAGAAGTTACGATATTTGGATACCATATGTTTAGTACTGGAACATTGGGTTTTGGGATCTGGAAATGGGGATGAACCAAAAACCAAATGAATAGACACTGGCTTTGCAGCACAGGGATTTTTTGAAGTGGAACTGGGGAGAGCTTTCAGCACGTTGACTGGCCATGGTTTCAAAGTGTTGAAAAACCAAGCACTGTTTGATTAGAGGATTCCCCCTAGCCACCCAATCTGGGTGTGGGATCCTGTGGTTTGTCAGGTCTCTCAGCTTGAACCACCGTAGGTAGTTGCCATGATCGCTGGTGATATTCCATGGCTTGTTTGTGTTTGCGATATTCCTATTTTGTTGGGTTCAATCCTGTACATCATAGTTATTTGCTGCTCAAACTGCCATTAAATCCCTATGTTTAGTGCTTAAATTTCCTTGAAATCCCGCACTTTGGTTCTCAAACCTTTCCGAAACGCCACACAATTTCACGTGTTTTATTGAATCCCGAAATAGTTATCATCATTTATATATCCAGTTTTCATCCTGTTTTGGTGTTGCAAAGAGATCCTCAAACCGTTGGTCACCCAATATCATAGTGTATGTGTGTGTGTGTGTCTTCGGGATGGCGATGGAGAAATATATATATAATTAGTGTGTGCGAGTGCCCGACACATCATAAAAAAACAGTTATCAAATCCATAGCTCCAAACTTTGAAAGACCCATCATGTGTTTCGTAATTCGCCAGGCATCTGAAATTTTCATGGCTCCCCATGGTTTTGTCGCCACTGAGGACGGGCAAGCTGCCACCCAGTGGTGTGGAGCTCGTTGCACAGGTCATGCGAGCCTTGTGGCGCTTCTTGCACGACACTGCGCATCCACAGGTGGGGATTTTTGGGGATGGTGTAGCAGGGGCTGAAGATGGTAAAGTTATAGGCTTGGGCTTAGTATAGATAATATAATATATATATAACTTACAATTAGAGTATCCAGCATGTACTTCTAGTTCAGGTTTCTGAATGTTCTAGATTACTTGGATCTTGCTGTAGATGAAAGATTATTTTTGTTGGGGAGCCCTATGGTTTGCTATCTTCCTCGGCCCGTAGGCAGCATCCTTTTATGGACAGATTGAACTCACCTACCGGCAGTGGTTGATTGGATGATCTAGGGTCATTCATAACCCCATGCCTGGAAAAGAATATGAGATCATAATATGGAATCATGATGTTCGATGATATGGAATAGATACCTTTTATACCTTTTATGAATCCCTTGGAAGTCCACTATAAATATATCCTGGTTGGTGGTTTGGAACATGTTTTATTTTCCATATATTGGGAATAATAATCCTAACTGACGTTCTTATTTTTCAGAGGGGTTGAAACCACCACCCAGTTATCTCATAATTAGCGTTTGTTGCACCCTCCAAATAGTCCAAAAACACGACGTCTCGACAACCATCGAGACCTCCCTCAGCGACCTCAGATCGATCGAGGTGAAAGATGCGAGCCCCGATGATGTGGCCTTCTTTGTGATGGATAAGATCACCTTGAGGAGAGCAGAGTGGTCGAGTGGTCGATTTTTGTTTAAGGAAAATTGGGGGAACTCATTCCGAACATCAACAACTTTCAATTTGCTTCACCAAATTGATATACTCTGATCTAATATGAGTTTTCCAGAAGGCTTCAAAATTAAGCTTGTTGTGAACCAGAAAAATATGAGCCCACAGATTTCTATGGGCAATTTCTGCTCTGTTCGCTTTTCGCCAGGAAGATGGAAAACGCCTTGATGAAGATCTTGCTCTTGGGTGCTGATGCCGCTGTGGATGCAGGCACACCGGGCTATGCGGGCTCCGGATGGAGGATATGGAGGTTGGAAGTGTAGAAAACACCATTCTTAATTGGTAAATCAATGTAAATCATCTATTTCTATGGGCCAGTTGTCATACCTATGTTAGGTTACTGGAGGGTATATTTCAGATATGTGGCTCTGAAGATGATTAGTGTAACCCCAGAATGGCATTTGTTATTTTGTTAAGTTAAGGAACATGATGATGAATAATCAAACTTTGGGTACCCTACTCAGGCAAACCCTATTATGTGTTTTATATATATATAAATCTCTCTCTCTCTCTGTATGCATAGTTTTGTGTCACACATTCCCTACGCATATGGGGATATTTGACATGCACATATACACGTATATCAGAACGCTGTAGGCAATGTGTGTGTATGTGCACACGTGGGCATCATATCCCATATGAACATATTTTGGGTTCGTTTCAGGACTATCTCAGTTTTAGGTATGCCCATAGCACGGCCATCCATACCCCAAGGCTCCTTAATTACATGGAGATATGGAGGATAAACTGCAATTTTGTTCGTTGGATTATGTTCAATCACCATTTCTGACGTGATTTGTGCTGGTTAAATCATCATGTTTGATGTTTTTTGTTCAGTTGTTGTTGGTCAAATCACCTTTTCTGATCTATCTTTTAGTGGTTAAACCACCAACAAATCACCATGTATTTTGATCATTTGATCATTTGATCCCTTCGATTTTCAGCCTTATTTCAACATATCTTCCTCCTTCACCATGCCATGTTCCAACCAGACCCCTCCCAGACCCCAGACCCCAGGCTTTGTGCAGTACCGCCCCGTGACGGCCAACCTGGCCTTCGCCTCCACCTTGGAAGTGGCCGAGGATCCACGGCTCACCCAGACGCAGCCGGCAGAGCGCCGGCAGAGTGGGGGCCAGGCCTCGCCCGCTCCGACGGCGCAAAAGCCGCTGTTCTACGGACGGGGAGGAGGTGGCGATGAAAATTGGGCATTATAGATCATTAATACACATATTTATACATATAAGTATAATATAAATATGTATGTGTATTTATATATATATATCATTGATATATCATTACTTATCATCATATGATATTCTCTATCTATCTATTTATTTATTTATTTATCTATCTATCTATCTATCTATCTACCTAATGGTTTGATATCTACCTATTTAACCCCTTTATCCCCAGATTTTGTTGCTTAAATCTGCTTAAATCCTCAAATGATTTCCATAGTTCATAAACCATCCAGCTATGTTTTTCATACACCCAATGTTTTTCAACAAAAACTGCTATTTCTTTATAGCTCCAGGATGGTTGCAGTAAACATAGCATCTCTGGGGCGCTTGGATTGACCAATATTACCCTCTGGCAATTTCACGATTTGCGAACTGGAAAAATCACAATGTTTCATAGGTAAATTGCCAAATCATCATTCTTATCATGTCTCACTAAATGGGTCAATGAGCAATTTTCATCTCTTTCATCCATGGTCCAAAAATCAACATGAACATTCCTCCCTCATTTCCAACTTCTGGTAAATTAAGAATCAATCCCTGAAAATCAGCATTGTTTTGGATATTTTGAGTGGTTTTGCTAACCAAGCCCTACCAGGGTCCTGTTAACTGGACCTGAGGGCCATCCACCCAGGCCCAAGATGAGCACCCAAGAGGTGCGCACGCAGCCCACTGCGGCGGATCCCTTCGCGGACCTGAAGACGGCCTTCGAACCGCAGAGGGAAAAGCTGAAGACCTTCAACTTGAAGCAGATCGTCACCAGGAGACTGGGTGAAAACCCCTTAAGGGGAAACCGAAACCTGGGGGATGGTGGAGACTTTTTCTGGATAGGGGAATACTCATTCCGGGAGAACAAGGACAAGATTTCTTCCTGGTGGGATCGTCACCAGGAGGGGCAAAGCAAGGTCAATGGATTATAATGGATTGGTTTAAGTTTTTTTTTACAGGAAAAACCCTAGATTTAATAATTATGATTTAATGGGAAAACCGATGGTTTCCGATGTTCCCTTATACCATTCCATTGACACGAGGACGGTATACAAAGGACGGTATACAAAGGGGAAATACAAAGGGAGCATAACGACGAGATATTCCAAGGGATCGTCACCAGGCAGAAGATGTTTATAGGTGGATGACAAACCAAGGGGAAATGATGAAATGTACGATCTGCGAAGGGGATACATTCAAAAAAACAAGGGCAGCGGCAAAATTTCAAGATTTATTGTGAGAGAGATAGTTTTTTGACTATGGTGGGTGTATATTCTGTATATATGCATGCATAACTGTAGATCATTAATGTTGCATATAAGTATAGGATTACTGATTACTGTTTGTCTGATAACATGTGAGATATATAGATATGTGTATGCGCATGTGAGTGCATATTGTTCGTTTGTTTAATTGTACATCATATTTACACACACACACACACACATATATATATATATATATACGTATGATTCCCGACATCAAATTCTTGACCATCGCACATGTTGACGTTTTGAATTGCTCCTTGGCGGGGAGGTGATGGTTTGACCCCATTGAGCCCGGTCCGGTCGGTTCAAGATTTTTCCTCCGACACTTCCAGCTATCACAAAATCCTTGTTGCTTTGCAGTCCTCATTCACATCCATTCACTATTGGTTTTATTATGTTTTATTGGTTCCACACTCCAACCACAGCCCTTTTTTTCCCCGGCCAGACCCCAGACCCTTGCAGAGCCCCAGAAACAGCAGAGAGTGCCTCCCAAAGCCAAATCATCGCCGCGTAGGAATGGCACAGTGCTGATGAACATGTTGGAGCGTTTGTTGGAAACCACCGAGATTGATGCGAGGGACGTCGAGACGGAACAGACCCTGTTGCTCGATTTGGAACGATCTCACCACGACGTCACTGTGAATGACGGGTAGTCAGGGGAATTATTCCCAAGCGGCATTTTGTTCCAGGTTGATGAGGTTATTGTAATTCAGCCAGTCACATTTGAGTGGCACATGTTTGGAACTATGCAATGCAGTCAATCCAATAAACCTCTAATGGAGATGTTAACAATCAACCCATTTCTGATAAACATGGTACTTGGCTTGGGATGGTTTCATCGTTGGTTTGCTACACTATACTTATGTAGAAATGGATAAGAAGTCAGGAGTTAACTCCACTTCACTCCCAGATTTCATCACAATTTAGCATGCGTTGACGGGAATTTTTTAAAGCACAAACCTGATATTTATCTAGAATTTAGTGGTAAAAAAACCATGGTTTCAACCGGTCCAAGCGTAGATTTCCCCTTGAAGCCTACGGTCACCGCTTTGGCTCCAGGTTGGAGTACGCCTGCCACACGGGCAACATGGGCCTGGCCAAGCTCTGCTACCGCCGCGGCGCCAATTTGTCGGCCAAGACGCAGAAGGGAGAGACGGCCTTTAACATCGTGACGCAGAACAAGCGCTACGAAGCTTGGATGACATATAATCATATCTAATAATGATATAATCATATTATAATCATATTTATAGTCATAATATATGATTATATTATGATTATATTATGATTATATTATGATTATATTATGATTATATTATGATTATATTATGATTATATTATGATTATATTATGATTATATTATGATTATATTATGATTATATTATGATTATATTATGATATGATTATTATGATTATATTATGATTATATTATGATTATATTATGATTATTTTATGATTATTTTATGATTATATTATGATTATATTATAGTGATTATATTATGATTATACTATGATTATACTATGATTATATTATGATTATATTATAGTGATTATATTATGATTATATTATAATTATATTACGATTATATTTTGATTATATTATGATTATATTATGATTATATTATGATTATATTATGATTATATTATGATTATATTATGATTATATATATATACAGAAATTTGATTTGATGGGAATACAGTATGAATATCAAGGGAAAATATCGGGATGTCATCTGGAATGGACATAGTATAGATGGAGCGGGATGGTTCCCCAGCATGGTTCCTATGATGAGACTAGGGGACTGTCATTTGCAGACAATCCTGTCCTGGTAAACGTTTACATAACTATGGAAAATCACCACTTTTAAGTTTTAAGTTCGGTAAATCATGTATTTCTATGGGCCATTTTCAATAGCCATGTAACTTAAATTACCAGAGGGTAATTGGAATCTGACGTGATCTGATACAACAATATGATCCCTTATGAAAGATGGTGAATGTTCGATGTTTTCTGGGATCTGACTTATGTTCAAAGATGGTGGGATGATACATATAGGGTAATTTAATTATATACAATTATAAGCAAACGACTACCGTGGTGTAAGGGGGATGGAATGATAGCGCAGAAGATTTTCTGTATCACGGATTTGGATCCTGACAAGTGCGAAGAATGATGGTATGATAAAACTGGAAAGACTACCCCCATTGACTGATACGCTTGGGATGGTTTGACACCACCAATCCGCAATTGTTCATTGATCGGATGATAGATATAATGGTGGGATACTACGGGTTTGATAAATGTGTATAGATATGGGATTATGTGGGACACTATGGGGCAATTATATATATATATGGGATGAGAATGTATCTGATGGGCAGATGAAACGATTTAGCTTCATGATCTATCTGTGTCATCATGTTTTTGCTAACGGGTGCCAAACCGTACGTGTAGTTACACACATTTTCAACATGGGGTGGGGTGGGGTGGGGATGTTAACGTTCGTTTGCAGTTGAACACGCCACGCATGCTACGCTGAGCATGTGTTGGGGTGGAGATGTGAACGTTCGGTTGAAGTTGAACACGCCACGCATGCTACGCTGAGCATGTGGTGGAGTGGAGATGTGAACGTTCGGTTGAAGTTGAACACGCCTCTGCTGCTACGCTGAGCATGGGTGGGGTGGGGTGGGGTGGGGTGGAGATGTGATGGACAATCCGATCGCATGCGGCTGTTGCAGCCGTTGCAAGGGGGAGTAAGCTACACCCTGGTTTCTGCAGGCAGGTCTCACTGTGCGCTTCTTCGAAGTGATGGCCAAGCTGAAACTTTGAGCCCGAATCTCTTGGGAGAACTCTCTGTCCTTACTCTCGACAGCTTACGTTTGAATGACGGAATTGTCTACATCCAGGTATCTGCAGGTGGGACTCATACAGTGTTGCTAAGAAGTGATGGTATTGCCATTTCAAACTGCAGTGAGCACAACATTCCGCTTGCACCGCCTGGCACTTTCTACCTTTGAACGGATTGGAGGCGACCTGGTGTTGCAGCTTGAGCCGATGCCGTCAATGGTGATGCCATCAACGTTCCGTTGAAGTTGAACACGCCTCTGCTGCTACGCTGATCATGTGGTGGGGTGGAGATGTGAACGTTCGGTTGAAGTTGAACACGCCTCTGCTGCTACGCTGATCAGGTGGGGTGGGGTGGGGTGGAGATGTGAACGTTCGGTTGCAGTTGAACACGCCACGCATGCTACGCTGAGCATGTGGTGGGGTGGAGATGTGAACGTTCGGTTGAAGTTGAACACGCCTCTGCTGCTACGCTGATCATGGGGTGGGGTGGAGATGTGAACGTTCGGTTGAAGTTGAACACGCCTCTGCTGCTACGCTGATCATGGGGTGGGGTGGAGATGTGAACGTTCGGTTGCAGTTGAACACGCCACGCATGCTACGCTGACCATGTGGTGGGGTGGAGATGTGAACGGTCCGTTGAAGTTGAACACGCCTCTGCTGCTACGCTGATCATGGGGTGGGGTGGAGATGTGAACGTTCGGTTGAAGTTGAACACGCCTCTGCTGCTACGCTGATCATGGGGTGGGGTGCGGTGGGGTGGGGTGGGGATGTTAACGTTCGTTTGCAGTTGAACACGCCACGCATGCTACGCTGAGCATGTGGTGGGGTGGAGATGTGAACGTTCGGTTGAAGTTGAACACGCCTCTGCTGCTACGCTGAGCATGTGGTGGGGTGGAGATGTGAACGTTCCGTTGAAGTTGAACACGCCTCTGCTGCTACGCTGATCATGGGGTGGGGTGGAGATGTGAACGAGTGATGGTTTCAATGCCAAGATCGATCAATACATTCGATCCTGGCAATGGCGTTGGGAAAACGCTTTGTGTCCTGACCTCATGAAAAAAACCGCAGAGGTCTACATGCACAGTGATCAATGAAAGTGGCAATGCAAAAAAGGTCCGAAATTTGTGCTGTAAGGGTTGCAAAATCAAAGAAAAATGACCTTTTTTGGGAACATTTTTTTCCTGATCAGAAGGCCACGAAACACTGAAAAGGTTGTCATTTTTTTCAGCATGTTGATGCACCTACACGCGCGATTCCGCACCCGGCGGGATGTTTTTGGGATATCCATTCCACAACATCATATACCATGACTGGATATGACTGGCCTATATTATGAATACATATGTATATATATATATATTACCATACTATAGAGTACATGCATCATGTGTATATATGTATATAATATATAAATAGACGATATATGGCCATCTACCTCACAGTCTATTCCACCAAAAAAAATCAATGATACCAAACATACTAAATCATGACAATAAACTATCATCACATATATAATCATATATATAAATATCATATGATGTAAAATGTTCCCAGCTTTTCTTCGAAAAACTCTGACTTTTCCCCCCTCAAATTGTCTGAGGACTTGATGGAATTCCTCCACACCTACGGCGTCAAGGTGAACTCCGCGGACGCCAAGGGCCGCACGGCGCTGCACGTGGCGGCGGCCAACGACGACGTGGACGGCGTGTGCCGATTGATGGAGTGGGGAGCCGATGTGACTTGGACGGTGGACAAAATGGGAGAAAACCCCATGAAAACCCCATGAAAAACGGCAAAACCCCATGAAACCCCATGAAAAACCCATGAAAACATGGAGCTTTGAATGATTTGAATCAAAAATCATCTATAGTTTTCTATAATATATAATTGCGCGGCTGTTTTTTGAGGGGATGGGGTGTAGCTAGAGAGAGTCACTTATACTATATATACATATATGTATATGCACGTACAACATTGTAACATGAACACATATGTGCAGCATCGCGCAGCGCATTTATATATATATACATACTTATTTACATACAGATAATAGTTGATACTATGATCTCATGTTGAAATTTGGGTGAATCTTTATTGTTTTGCTTTTCCCAATGATTTATTGAGCTTAATGCATCGTTTGCAACATGTGTTTCTTCAATGGACAGTTGCATTGTTTGTTTGTTCCACCAATTAATGTATAAAGTCAACTACTTTTTGTGATAAGCCAACAAATTGCTTGGTGTATGTTCCATTCATTTTGTGAGTGGCAATTTTATTCCATGGTTTGTGCTACTTGATTTTCGAAGTCCAAGGTGAACATCAAGGATGACAAGAAGAGGACACCCATTCATGTGGCAGCCGCCAGTGGCAACATGAAAACCACCATGCTGCTTTTGGAGGCGGAGAAAAGCGTTTGGCATTGGAAATTGGTTGGTAAAGAGAAATTTCAGCCTTGCTGCTACTTGATGGCTCATCCCAGTCAGTAATTAGCAGGTTGGAACTCATGAAAAAATAGTTCTAACCCTGTAGCTGGACCAACCATAGCCTACTTCAGTAACTTTTTTTTTAAATAACCAACCATAGCAAAGTGGGATGACCATGGCCCATCGGTCGTAGGATCCATGGATTCGATCCAGGTGGGTGCTGACATGAACGCCAAGGATGATCGGGAGTACACGGCCGTGGCGCATGCGGAGGCCATGATGTCCATGGCGAGTTTGCCACTGTTTGGTTGATGAACATGATAGGCAAATGATAGGCAAATGATAGGCAAATGATGCATGGCAAGTAAATCAAACCAGGTCACGAACTAGCAGCTTGGGGCCAACCCGGCCCCCACGTTAATTCAAACAGTTTCCAACAGTTGGGAAGAGCCGAGGCCAACAATCATTTTGTGCTCATGGATCGCTTGGTGCAACTGGGTGGTAGGGGCCATGGCCTTCATCAGAAGAAGGAGAACGTCCCTCGCTGGCAGCAGGGACCAATGGTCGAAGTCATAGGTGTGGACAGGACGTCATGTGTATTTACATAAACAATCATAAACATACATACACATACCCTCTGGTAATTTAACGTAGCTATTGAAAATAGCCATTTATAGTGGATTTACCCATTAATAATGGCCATTTTCAATAGCTATGTTAAATTACCAGAGGGTACATTCTACACATAACTTTGTATTTATGATATGAGCCAGGTCCCAGGAACCTTACCCCCAATGGTATGGTGCCCCCCTCCCCCAAGAGCCACCTCGCCACTGGACTGCTTATGTACTGCCTATAGCATACCTCACACGTGGTTTACCACTCATTGTAGATACCTATAGATTATATACTCAAAAAAAGCACATATTGATACCATTTGATTCCTATATAGTCCTAAATACTACGTGACCATATGCTTGGATGCAGTATGTACCTACATACATGCATACATACACACACACACACATTGACTTTCTAGCAGAAATTTAGGCTGAGGTCTGAACCTTGTCCTCCCTGTGTCATTTCCTGTTCAAGGCTTTTCAAGTTAGGGGTTTTCATGCCCGGTCCCTTGTGCAACAAGTGCCGGGAGACCCCTTCGAGTGAGGGTGATAGCTGGTGCCTGGGGTGCATTGCGTGGGAGGCCCTAGGTCGTGAATTGGCCGGGCACTGGGACGTGCAGGGAGCCAGAGTGCTGGCAAACGACCTAGTGGTCTCTTGCGTCCGCCAGGTCCGGTCTCTCCGCTCGTTGAGTGCTGGGATTCACCGCCAGGCTGACAAAGCCGTTGGTGCTGGCTCTGGCCGTGCACCGACTGGTGAGTCGCGCCTGCGTGGTCAACCCGAGCACTCCGAGGGAGCTGAACGACCTGAGCTACCCCGCAGGCCACCTTTGCCTGCACCAGTTAGGGCGCCGGCACCAGCTCGTGCAGCCCCAAAAGAGGAAGAAGCCTCAGGTGACGACGGTGAAGACGAGGAGGAGGAAGAAGAGGAGAGCGAAGACCCGCCGTTTGAGGGGGCTGTTCCCAAAAAGAAACCTCCTAGGCCTGACAGCCCAGACCGAGACCGTCGTAGCAGCCATCGCGCAGGCAGAGACTCTGGTTCTCACCGTGAGTCTCGAAAAGAACGCCGAGAAGAAGATCACCATCAATCGAGAGGCCACAGCTCAAAGAAAAGAAAGAGAAAAGGAAGCCATCGAGGAGGTAGCAAGCATCAACGATTGGGGCGCTTGGCAGCCGATCCCAACATCAGAGTCCATCGCAAGGCCAACCCTGCCTTCTTGGACCTTGGATCCACTAGGGGGCGCGACGCCCTCGACCGCCTTTGAAAGGAGCAATGGAGAAGGACAAACCAGCGGGAGAATTGGTGGATCACACCATGATGCACGAGTGGTCAGGCTTGTCGCCTGTCGCAGGGCACATCTTGGAGGTCCCCCTTGCAAAGACAAGCTACGAAGTGTTTGTGGATCATTGGGCCGCGTTTGTGATTCTACGTGTCACTACTTGGCTCGATGGTTCCCTGGCGTTGGAGTGCAAGCATTTAGGTTGCACAGATTCCATGGTTGGGGTCGAGTTGGACAGACTTTTCAACAACGGGCCCTACTACATCCACCTTTGCCTATCAGAACCATGCATTGCACCAGATCAACCAGAAGTAGACGTCGACAAGCACTTGCACGCCACTGCCGCCAAGCTCTGGGACGTGGGGCTCTTTTCACAGGAGCAGGCCTATGTCACCGTCGAGCGCATTGGGCTCGCCACCAAGTGGGTGAAAGAAGCTGGCAAAAGCCGTGCTTCCAAAGCCCCTCGTGGAAAGCCTGCTCCTGCCCCTGGAAGAGGTCGCAAAAAGGAGAAAGATAGCCAGAGGAGAAAGACGTTCGGAAGCCCAAGAAGAAAGAGAGAGAAGAGCCAGCACGGAAACGTCAACGTGCAGAAGAGGATGCAGAGCCAGACCTAGACGAAGAAAAGAGAGCCAAGTTGAGAGAGAGGCTCAGACAGACCAGAGAGCGGCTTCAAGGCGCCAAGGCTGGGGAGACACCGGCTTTAGAAATCGACGAGTCCGATGCAGAGAACCAGGGTTCAGAGGAGTATTCGATCGACGATTCCAGCTCTGCACAGGGAGCTGGACTGACCAGTGGGCTGAAGATGGCCCCTGCGAAGAAGAAAGAGAGGGACCCCGCTCGCCGGCTGTCCAAGAAGACGCGCCAGGCTTTTGGGGACCCCTTGAAACCGGAGGAGGACCTACAATTGGCTATAAGAGGCACCACTACGAAGAGCTTGAGTGGTCAATTGGTGCTGAAGGCATACGAGGTTGCCCAGAAGAGGAAGAAAGCCAAGAAGACAAGGAAGTCCAAGTCCAGCGCTACCCGAGCAGGACAATTCCAGAAAGCTCTGCTCAATCTCATTCAGGGCAAGACAGATGGCCTGAAGAAGGGACAGACAGAGAAGAGCAAGAAGCAGAAGAAGAGGAGACGATTGGAGGATGGGACGATTGTGTCCTCAGAAAGGAGTTGTTCAGAAGACTCGGAGGCCGACACAGAGGGCGACTCCTCGGAAGGGGAGCTAGAAGCGCCAATGCAGAAGAAGAGCCGGGATCATCCAGGTTCTGTTCTGAATCTGTTAGTGACCCATATTCGTCAGCAGATGGACCAGTCAGCTTTGATGGACCCTGTGAGGACCGAGAACCTTCTCACTACAGGCATCAAGGTGATGAGCTATTTCAACTTGTACGTGAAGCCAACTTACCCCACGCACTTGCGGGAGCTGAGAGAGCTTCATCACCTTTCAGTGGTGATCGATCAGCTCCGTTCCGGGGACGTGGCGCGTTTAGGCGACACGTTAGCCGCCAGATACATGGCGATCCATCAAAGCCTGGTCGACGGATCTTGGGGTACTGCAAGACACCTCGAGCTGCAGCCCATGGAAGAGGCCTCAGCCGCGGGTGCTGCCACGATACTGGCAACTCGCCGCCATGCCCGCCTGGTTTCAAAAGCCACCGGCGCCATCCCGCTGGGGAACTGGAGCGGTTCAGCTGGCAAAGGCCGCGCTGGACGAGGCAAGGGCGATTGGAACTATGGCGAGGGGCGAAGCGAGTACAAAGGCGAGCAGAAGGGCAAAGGCAAAGGAAAGAAAGGAAAAGGACGTTGGGGAACTGGGCAAAACGCGCCCTGGGAGAAGACCCAAAAAGACTGGGAGCGAGCCAAGGAAAAGCCCGACGAAAAGAAGTAAGCAAGGATGTGAAGCTGGCGCAAGCCGTGCCCCGTCTTGAGGACAGGGAGACCGACTATGACGCCAGTGTGAAACCTGAGGGCAGGCGGCTGGCGCAAGCCGTGCCGCATCTGCTGAAGGCGCCACCTGAGGCACCTAGTTTCACCAAGGTGCTGGGCAGTTGCACTACTCTTAAACATACGGGTTGTGCCCTAGCCTGGCTTTTTGTGCATGCCGCTGCTTTCAAAGGTGAACAAAAGCTGCAACCCTTGTTTTTCACCATGTTTACCTCCACTGTGTGGCCGCGGGCCGAACGGAGACGTTTGGCTCTTCCATTGCGGTTGGGTGACTTGATGGAACTCAAGCAGACGCTCCTGGGCAATTCTTTTGAGAGCTGTATGAAGGATGAATTTACAACTATTTTTGCAGAACGGTGCTGGATCCTTTTGGCAAGCTACGCTTGTAACACTCTGCATGGCCAGCAGACACCTCTTAGCGAGGGACGCTGGAATCAAGCCGAGCAGAGGGCCATTAGCTCCATCCGTGGCGCTGTTCAGACGATGCTGAGTCATGGCGTCAACAAGACGGCAGACCCGGGCGCTATTGAAAAAGACGTCAAATTGAGCAGGGTATCATACACGGGGGAAGAGTTGAAGTCTTGCCACAAACTCACGCTGAAACAGGTGGAACCGGCTCTTCCTCCCCCGGGGCATGGTGGATGTATTGATCTTTTGAAATTTGTTTCCCCCCTTACTCAACGTTTCTTGGTTAACCCTGATTTGTGCGTTTTACCGGATAAGGGTCAGCCACTTCCCAAACTTCAAGGGAGGATTCATATGGCTTCTGGTGACCAAGTTGCAATTTCCGATTTATTGGTTGAGCGAGGCATTTGTTGTTGGACTCCTCTGGAAGACGTTGCTCGATTTCGTGGGCAGTATTTATTAAACGGACTTTTTGGAGTGGAAAAATCCACAAAGATTGATTCTGGTGAACCTGTACTTAGGCTCATTATGAACTTAGTACCCACCAATTCTGTGCTGTTACAACTTCAGGGAAGCGTGAAAAACCTCCCGGGAATCACAGCTTGGATGTCTTGTGTTACAGAAGATAACGAGCAGGTGCATGTGTGGCAATCAGACATGTCCAACGCATTCTATCTTTTCAGACTTCCTGCAGCTTGGGCCAAATATTTAAGTTTCAATCTTATTCGCAAAGGCGAAACGCTAGGGCTTCAGCGGGGGGTCGACTATGCTTTAAGTTGCACGGTATTACCCATGGGATGGCTTTCTTCAGTTTCCATAATGCAAGATATTGCAGAAAACCTGCTTCTCAAAGATGCGCTGGACAGTGAACACCAGCTGAGCAGAAATAGACCTGTCCCGTTATGGATGGTTGGACTCCTGAAGGAGGCAAAGCGGTCTGGTCGGGCCTGGTGGCACGTATATTTGGATAATTTTGCGGCGGGGCAGGTTGTTGATGAGGACGAATCCATTTTAGGGGGCCAGTTTTTGCATGATCAAGCAGAACGAGCTTGGAGCGACGCCCAGGTTATTTCTGCCAGCAAGAAACGGAAGAGTGGAGTTTTGGAAGCAGAAGAGCTGGGAGGCTTCATTTCAGGGAATACCAGCTCATTGGGTCCGAGTGCGGAAAGAATACTTAAGCTGATACAAGCCACCCTGTGGTTGTTGGGCAGAGCACACATGGCAAAGAAGCCTGTCCAGGTGGTGGCTGGACGTTGGGTACACGTCCTACAATTCAGAAGACCAGGTATGAGTTTTCTTGAATCTACCTGGGAATTTGTAGGAACGAAACGTTTTTCACTTGAACTGGTGCGAAGGGTACGACGTGAACTCTTTGCCTGTATTGCAGCAGCGCCCCTCTTGCGAGCAAATTTAGCAGCAAAAGTCAGCACCTTTACCACGGCGTCAGATGCCTCTCACAGAGCCGGAGCAGTTGGCATTGCTGAACAGCTTTCCCCAATTGGCAATGACTATTTGATGACCTCACTTAATTCACAACGCAGTGGTTCCTTCATTCCTGTATTGGTTATTTCCCTTTTCAACGGGATAGGAGGGGCTTTTCGAACCTATGACGTGCTAGGTTTTACCCCTATGGGGCTGGTCAGCTTTGATACTCACCCCCCTGCCAATATAATAGGGTGAGCTCAAGAAGGTGGCCGCACAGCTTGCAATTTGGTGATGTCAGAACGCTGGATGACATCCTACTAAGGGACATTTTGCTTAAATTCCCAGAGATTCAAGAAGTGCATTTATGGGCGGGTTTCCCATGCGTGGACCTGTCTGCAGCAAAAGCAGGTCGCGAAGGTCTTCAGGGCGCCCAATCCAGCTTGTTCTTTGAGGTTGTGAGAATACATGAATTACTCAAGAAAGAGTGTCAACCCATTATTCAAGTGAAGCTAGTCACAGAAAATGTGGCATCCATGCCCAAAGCAGACCTTTGCGAGATATCGGACACTCTGAACTTGCGACCATACCACCTGAACTGCTCGGATGCAGTTCCTATGAACAGGCCAAGGCTGTGCTGGACCACTGAGACTTTAGAAGGAGCAGTTGAGGGAATCGACTTGCAGGACGAGGACTATTGGATAAAGGTAATCGCGAGCAATGCTTACCCAGATCAATTGAGTTGGATTGAGCCTGGTGTAGAGTGGGAGGATGGTTGGCATGGAGAAGTTCTCCCAACAGCCATGAAAGCAATAGTTCGTTCACGTCCACCTCCTAGGCCAGCGGGGATAAATAGATGCAATGCTGATGTGCAAGGACGATGGGCCTCAGACAACTTCAAGTTCCCTCCGTATCATTACTTGGATCGTTTTACTTTCTGGAAAGGTGACAAATGGCGGCTGGCGGATTCAAGGGAGCGTGAACTTTTACTAGGGTACGGTTGGGATCACACTGCCATTTGTTTTAGCGCATCTGATATTAAGAAGTCTTTGAAACAGTATGAAAATGAGAGGATGTCACTGTTGGGAGATTCGTTCAGTATCTTTTCATTTGTTATTGTTACAGCTGCTTTGTGTCGGGAATTTGTACCAAGCTTTCGGTATTCACACTTGTGTCAGAGAATGGGTTTGGCACCTGGTTTTCGTGCACCCTGGCGTATGACAGCACCTTTGGCAAGGCAGTTGCAGTATGGATCACAAGCCCGACTAGGAGAACAATCAGCACAAGATTTGAACAAACTCCTTTTGACACGTGTTAACCACACTGGCTCAGACATTAGGATCTCAACGGGGGATATTATGGTCCCCAAAGCTTTTCCACGTCAAGGGGTACAAGCAGATTGGTGGACTTGGAAACCTGTTTTTAGTTTTCCCTGGAAGAAGTCTGAACACATAAATGCCCTTGAACTTCGGTCAATTTTGCAGGCGGTTCAATATTCACTTCATCATCACAAACAAGTGGACGCCAGGTTATTTCACATCAGTGACAGTTATATTTGTATGTCGATCATTAGCAAGGGTCGTAGCAGCAGCCGTTTCCTCAACAGAATTTTACGAGTTTTGAATGCTTACCTACTGGCACATGGGATAGTTTTAATTATAGGACACGTTGAGTCAACGCAGAATCCTACAGATGGGGCGAGTCGTCAGACCAAGATTCCTCGCTCGCACTACAAAAACTGAAAGGAGAAAACAGAGGAAAGATGTTAACCTCACTGATGCCGCAATTACAGTGAGGACCCAGACACGTTACTACACTGCGTTGCGACACCTATTGCCTACAGTGGAGAAAACAGCCCATCTTTCACACCTGGATGACAATGTTAGCCTTTGGGTTGAAAAACAATGGAAGAATGGTGAAACTATTAGTTTTGTCAGTGACGCACTTTGCGCTCTTCACCACTTCGAACCTAGCACAAAAAGGTGCATTCCCAACACATGGAAGCTTTACCGTACGTGGCGAAAGCTTGAGTCCCCAAATCGAGCTCCTCCCTTAACCAGGCAACTGGTATATGTTCTTGCTCATTATGCTCTTTGTCATGATGATTTAATTTTTGCTTCTCTTTTACTGGTTGGTTTCTTTGCGCTCCTTCGCACCGGTGAGATTCTCAACGCCCGTCCGGAAGATTTTCTCATCAACCAGAAACAAGGCATTCTCAGCCTTCCAACTTCGAAAACAGGACTGCGACATGGAGCAGGAGAAACTATTGCCTTTTCTGACGCTTTCGCTCTGGATGCCATCCGTGAAGCCATTGCGCTACGAAAGGCCCAAAATTCAGACAAGATTCCTTTATGGCATGCCTCGCCTCAAGCCTTTCGAGATCGCTTCACGCATTACTGCAGAAGGTTTGACCTACTGAGTCATCACTTTAGACCGTACAGCTTGAGGCGTGGAGGAGCGACGTGGGTTTTTCAATCCACAGGTTCCATGGAGGCAGCGTTATTAAAAGGACGCTGGGGCTCAGCCCAAGTGGCCAAAATATATATCCAAGATGGGATGTCGAAGATCCCTTCTATGACTTTTTCCAAGAAGACCAAAGACATGATTCAACACTGGCAGCCATGAATCTGCCAGCGTCGAGTTTGGGGGTCGTGGAGACAATGTTTTTCGTGTGTTTTTATATGTTGCTTGCTTTTTCTTTTACCGATCCTTCCATGGATCTTGATGAAATGACTTTGCAGAGCATCCTTCCATGGATGTCAATGTGCTTCGAAAAACATCCTACCATGGATGATACCCAGCTATGATTTCAGAAATCAGCTATTTGGAAAGCTGAAACCGTTAAGGCTGGCTGTTGACCAAGTCACAGCCATAAAAACCTTACTGTCATGCAGTGGAGACAAAAGTGAAAGTGCCGAAGCCTTGACTTTCTAGCAGAAATTTAGGCTGAGGTCTGAACCTTGTCCTCCCTGTGTCATTTCCTGTTCAAGGCTTTTCAAGTTACCCAACCGCTCCCACCACTGACGGAGCTGGAGACAATGTTTTTCGCGTGTTTTTATATGTTGCTTGCTTTTTCTTTTACCGATCCTTCCATGGATCTTGATGAAATGACTTTGCAGAGCATCCTTCCATGGATGTCAATGTGCTTCGAAAAACATCCTACCATGGATGATACCCAGCTATGATTTCAGAAATCAGCTATTTGGAAAGCTGAAACCGTTAAGGCTGGCTGTTGACCAAGTCACAGCCATAAAAACCTTACTGTCATGCAGTGGAGACAAAAGTGAAAGTGCCGAAGCCTTGACTTTCTAGCAGAAATTTAGGCTGAGGTCTGAACCTTGTCCTCCCTGTGTCATTTCCTGTTCAAGGCTTTTCAAGTTACCCAACCGCTCCCACCACTGACGGAGCTGGAGACAATGTTTTTCGCGTGTTTTTATATGTTGCTTGCTTTTTCTTTTACCGATCCTTCCATGGATCTTGATGAAATGACTTTGCAGAGCATCCTTCCATGGATGTCAATGTGCTTCGAAAAACATCCTACCATGGATGATACCCAGCTATGATTTCAGAAATCAGCTATTTGGAAAGCTGAAACCGTTAAGGCTGGCTGTTGACCAAGTCACAGCCATAAAAACCTTACTGTCATGCAGTGGAGACAAAAGTGCAAGTGCCGAAGCCTATATATATATATATATACATACATACACAAATCACCAATTGATATTACAAACCTATGTGTAGTATATACATTGCCTCATCACTACCTATATACTCCTTACACCCTACATATACTACCGCGTGCCCATATACGACTCTTTGCATAGCGTGCCCATATACTATAATCATATATCTCCCTAAATACACTCCCTATAAACTGAAAATCAAGCACTTACAGCTGCACAAACACTGCCCATGTAGGACCGTTGTTGTTGGGACCCCCCCCAGGCCACAAGGGGGAGGGGGGTAACCATTTGGCTGGGGGGGGGGCTGTGGTGATCCCTGCCTATATATATATATATAATTATATTTATAATTATATATATATAATTATATATATATATAATTATATGAATATAATTACATATATATATATACATATGCACACATGTGAGTGCATGTCATGTTTATATTTGTTTAGGCAATAGGTCGCCCAAGAGCTGCAAAGCTATTGAAGTATTTGATCATGTAAGATCATGTAAGTAGTTTTTGCAGACCGGCCAGATCGAGTAGAAACATCACCACGCACTTGCAAAGCTGCACGTTTCTGAAACTACCCCCAATTGCCCCACGTTTCATTTCAAGTATACTTATATTATTCTTTTTCGTCAGGCCATCAATTGACCTGTTTCATCCTGTTTCGTAATCAATCCCAGTCATCCCAGGATATGGCCCGCTCCAAGAGTGCCAAGATGATCGGTGAGTTGGTGGTCTCTGCAGGTTTGTTGAGGAGCAGTTCCCTGGGTCGCATCGGCAAGGTTTCCGTCAAGGGCATGTCGGGGCCCCTGCAGCCAGCACCACAAACCAAGTGATGCAGGGAGAGGCCCAGGGTGCCGTGGCCACGGGAGAGTTGAGTTTGGACTTGAGATATGACATGGTTTCAGAGTGGGCCAATCTTCAACGTTTCATGGCCTAAACATGCCGAATGTGTCACAGTTGCACGGCCAGATGGATGCTGTAATCAAACTTCAGCCGTGGCAGTGAGCAGCCTGTTTCAAAGAAACTGGGCTGCCATTGCCTCGTTCGATCGGCTGACGTATCACTGTTACCTTTTGGGCAACCGCCATTCCATCGAGATGCGCGAGAGAAAAGAGCTGTGGTGCAGGTCACCTGGTGTACCTGGTGTACCAGCGTGCAGATTCAACCCCTTAATGAAGACATAGAAACACGCAAGGCCTTGGGTCGTCCCAGCTGAATATCCCCGAGATTCACCCAAGGCTCAACAGATCGCCCAACACAATTCCAAAATTTGGAAACTGATCAAAACTAAGGGACCAGCCAGATGATAATTGTCCAAAAACGCGAAAATCATCGAACAGGCATCGATATAGTTTGAAGTTGAAACAACTCAACAGAACGACAATAAATCGCCAGATGTTTGTCCGTGTTCAGGGACAAGTGACCCTCTAGTGACCATTTCAGCGCATTTTGGACCAGTGACCCATGGCATCTGAGGCCTGCGTCTTTCTGCCCGCAAGCCAGCAGGGCCTCGCTGAGCTCTGCGGCAAGCAGGACTTAGGCGACCGGTTCCGCGGTTCCGCCAGCCATGGGATTCGGCCAATGGCAGCAGCAACAACAACAACAACAGCAACAACAACAGCAGCACCAGCAACAACAGAGAGTTGACTATCAAAATGGCTCTTAGAGATATGTGGTTTAGTAGTTTTTGCAATCAAAGATGGGTTGGAATGACTGTTTGTTGGTTTCAGCTAACACAAATCCCAGGGATTTGACCATGAAACATATGGGCTTTTCCCAAGGATGTCGACAAGAACTGGTTGGTGGTTTCACTTTATGTACAGTAGCTTAATTTCCATGAAGTTGCTCTGTCTTCTATCGGTTTGGCTCAACTCCCAGGAGCTCACATTCTGCCATCATAAAAACGCTGATCCTCATTAAACGCAACTCCATGGCCCATCTTGCGGCCGTCTTCCATGTGCGGTGTACATGGCCGCGGTGCAAGTGTATATACACGAAGAACCTGCCCCAAAACAATCCAAACCATCTCGAAAAAAGTGCCAAATTTCTCCAAACCCCAAACAGTTTGGAACAATCACCAAAAAACTAGCAACACATTGGGCGCACGATAGTGTTCACATCCACTGGCAATTCCAGTACCGAAAGTTGATCGCTTGGGCGCCATGGGTAGCCAGATGCCGCCAGAGGATGAGCTGGATCGATTCTCGGAGTTTCGCATGCCGCACGTCATCAAACGCTGCACTGAGGACACTGGATCCACTGGAGGCTTCAAAAAATGCCGAGCCGATCCCATTGAAGATGTAATGCAATATAGGTATATATTATATATTGTGTGTGTGCGTTTATCTATTTATTTATTTATTTTACTTTTTTGGGGGCATATATTTGCAAAATGTGGCCCATACTTCGAAGGAATGAATGAAGGCTCGATGTTTCGAAACAGTCATGTTTTTTTTGCCTTTGTTTTTTTCGGTAAAAACATACCATGCTTGGAAACCACATCTCCCCTAGAGCTTGCGAAACATGAGGTGGGAATGATCTCCCAGCCAGGAATACGAACTCATCACTCATCAACTCATAGTTCAACAGATTTACCAAACAACCGATGATCAGGGTATATCAGGGTCATGCAGTCATGCATTCAATTGTTTGCACCATGTTTTTGCATGTTTTTGCTTAACACAAAAATGCCTTTGCAGGATCATGCAGGATCCGAATTTTACGTTGGTGGTCTCAGATTTGGTGGCTTTTGCAAATGATCTGACAGTTTTATCGCTTCAAAACTCAGGCATCTCTTGGTTTCCAGTGGCTTTCGCATGTTTCAGCCTTTGTTTTCCAGGAGGATCCCTTGCAATTCTATGGTGCCACCATCTCGGGGTCCTTCGCGTTGATCTTGACTTTATCAATGTGTATCCGTCAGTCGCACGTCCTGAACGGGCGTCCCCTGTGCATGCAGCGGGGCTACTACCGCGGCATGTTGCTGGATGCGGCATTAAATTTACTTTCTATGTTCCATCCCATTTCCATCCCTAAGTGAATAGGGGATGATTTTTATGTTATTTTTTCCTCCAGCGGTTGATGAAGCCATTGACTTTTTTGGCGTGCCTGGCTCCTGTCTTGGGATGGAATAAAAGGATATAAAGGGACAGCCGGGTCATTTACAGAACAACGCCTTATACTTCATAGGTTTTCGTAGTAAAAGCATGTAAAACTGTGTGAACACCATGGAACCAGCCCTGCCTACTAGGTTGTTTTTTCCTATGGTTTGGGCAGTTTGCTGCTGGGCCACCCTATTCTGCCCCTTGGCCCGGCCTTTGGCAGAGCTGTTCATGGGCCAGATCGAGGCTTATGCCATCTACTCGTTTCTGGTGAGCTCGGTGAACGGGGAATGACGTCGTGACGTCCGCTGGTTGATGACTGGGGTCAGCACTCACCCGTCTCGGTAAAGTACCCTCTGGTAAACTAACATAACTATGGAAAATCACCAGGTTTAATGGGAAAATCCACTATTTCTATGGTCATTTTCAATAGCTATGTTAAATTACCAGAGGGTAACAGCTATTGAACATCCATCCCTAGCTCCATGATTTTCCAAAAAAATACTCTCTTATGATGCCCCATGGCCCATATCTATGTAAGTTTACCGGAGGGCAATTCATTTGAATTACCATTGACATCCATATTTGTGCTGAAAGTTGCGGCCCACACATACATATATGTATATATATATATATATTTAATCACATATATATATATATATCGATTAGTCATTGTTAATCAACCAGTGCGCTCTTCATTCTGAGTTTGTATGATTTGTGCAGTTTTCACTTTGTTGGTTTTTTTTCTCCGCCGCCCAGCCCATAAACCCATTAATGATCATAAAGATGTTTATCCAAGAAAGTGTGGTGTTTCCAATTTGGCCGTGGAACTTTGCAATGTCCCATGCATGTCGATCAAGGTTCTTGTCAACATAAGTTCAATAGAATGTGAGGGTGTCCGAGTGTTGCCTCCTATAAACATTTCGAACATCATTCTGTTAACCCTGGTTTAGTAGGTTCACAGGCTAGGGTAACCTTTTGTCACACATGTGGCACATAATTGGATGCAAATAAATACAAATAAACTACAATAGACTCAGCAGCCAAAACGACAGGTTTTGTGGGGAATGTGGTAATCCACACATGCATAAACATAATCAATCCTTTTGTCGATGGTTTGCCCCAAAAGAACAACTTTATATTTATAACTTTATCGTAATTGGTCAAAGAGAATGGTTTCTTGATGTTTATGGATTATTCAGCCATATTAAGCCTACCACATAAATCTGCAATGAGATTTCTCTGGTAGTTTCATCTGAGAACCACCCAAAAGTATCCGAAAGTTTCATCAGATTCATTCGATGGTTTTCCCACATCGCCACATCGCCCACGATTGCACTGGTGATTTTGTTCATGTTAGTGTCCATTGAAGCACGTCAGAGGCGACCCAACCAGAGTGACGTAGCCATGGAGTCAATGCAGTCTGGCGATTTGTCCAATATGGGTTCCTGGGCTCCAAAAAGCTGATTCCTGCAGCTTTTCTCACCACCCTCTGGCCATTTTAAAAGTGATCATCGTTTTTTTTTTTCATAGATCATTTTTGAGGCTTTACCATGCTTTACCATGCTTTACCATGCTTTACCCACTAAAAATAGGTGATTTTCCACTGCGCTATGTTTAACCGGTAACCCCCCATGGCTTGCCGCTGAGCTGAGGTCTGATTGTGATCCAAGCAGTTCAGGACTACGGCCCGCAGAGACTTGGCGATTCGCCTTGGCGGCTTAGCCCATGCTCATCCCGAATTGCGGTGGTTCAGTGAATATTGAATACATATATATATATTTATTTATTTATCTATGTATATCTGAATATATTTGATATATATATATATATACACATGTTTAGATAAATAGATAAATATTAATATATATATATATAATTATTTATAAGCATACGACTGTACACATATATATATATATATAAATATCATTAAACAAATAAATACATAGATAAATGATATCTGAATATATCTGATATTTATATATATATATACAGATATATTCTAGATTTACGAGCTAGGTGACCATCTTGATTCCTTGTCAGCCTTGCCGGCTAACAACCAGGTTTCCATGATAATTTTCCATCTTGGAGGATGATTCCAATGATCATGTACAGTTCATTGGGAAAAAAACATCTTGGACCCATAGTGCCAGAACTTCAGAGGTGGTTGCTTACGGCTAATCACAGGTGCATGCAGGTGCCCTGCAATAAGCTACCCATAGCATATGATATCCAAAAACGGCATGTTTGGCAAAACACATCCGCCATTGCATAGACTAGTAACTAGTATAGACTACCCAGGCAAGATTGTTTTATTTTTTCCCATATTTTACCCATTGCTTCCCTTCACCAAATTTCGGACTTGACTGGAACATGTGCAGTTGAAGCCCTGATGAATGGGACGACCATGGTGTAGCTGCCTCCAAAAAGATGCACAGATTTCAGCAAAACAGCACCACATGCTGTGTTCCTGGGTGTGTTTCCGGTAAACATCGGTTGGTTTAATTGAAAAATGAATTCTAATAATCGGTGGCAAAAACCATGTTTTTTTTTGAATGGTTTTAACCGTACATTTTCCCTTGAATCAATGCATTGAATCACCATATCCGGTAAATCCCATATTCTTCCATATGTGTTTCCATTAAATCTCGGATTTGGATTGTACAAATTACAGGAAAGCTGTTTGATTGCTCGCAAAAACCATGGTTTAACCGTAGGTGTTCTCTTTAACCAGTCCTTTGAATCACCATATCTGCTTGGTAGAATCCATTAGTATCAATGAAAATCCCCGATCTGCCCATATGTTCCCATTATTTCCCCAACACCGGTCACTGCGTCGGTCACTGCCGGTTCGAAAATCGGTCCGAATTTCCCACGGAGGCGATATTTCGCAGTGCCACCATTGGGATGTTTCTTTTATCGTTGCTGTAAACCTCACCATATCTCTGCGAAGCAGTTGCTGTGGGTCTCGAGGTTGGTCAAACAGTTTCTTGTCATGGA